GGGGGGGGGGGGCCTCAGTGGACACTTCCACAGGGCCAAGGGCTGATCAATAACCTCCACATTTCAAAACTGCATCGGATCAAGTCCAACATGCCTTGTTTTTAAGGGGGGGGGGGGGCCTCAGTGGACACTTCCACAGGGCCAAGGGCTGATCAATAACCTCCACATTTCAAAACTGCATCGGATCAAGTCCAACATGCCTTGTTTTTAAGAAGCACAGGCTCCGGGTTTAATTGAGAAGCATCTCACGTCGAATCAGAGGGCTCATGTCTGTTCTTTTGAAATAACTTGTCATTTTCTCTCTTTCTCGAGCATATCAGCTCGCCCCTTTTTCTCTCTAATCCCCCTCCTCTCTCTCTCACTCTCTCTCTGCCATCACTGTCTGTGCGAACACTGCATACAGCTCAGGTGCTCTGCTACTGTACACCTCTGCATGCATGTACCGTGTGACTCAAAGCACACAGCGAACCACAGGTGGAGGAAATATTCTGTTCTCTTCACTTACTTTAAATAGCAACATGGCAATACCTCAATGTAAAAGAATTCATTACTAGTAAAGGTGATGTGCTGTAAATTAGTATTATCAGCTAAATGTATTTAAAGGACCATACCTGTGTTTTCAAGGTTTAGTTTCTAAACTAAAAATCATGTTTTGTATTTGAAATAATGATTTTTGAAATGACTTTTAGATTTTGTTGGTGTATTTTTCCCGACTGTTCCCGGCATCTGCTTCTGTATAATATGCAGATCAATTACCTGCCTCTTGAAACTTGTTTGGGCTGTTTATTCCATCACACAAAATATCAAGTTTGTACTGAAAAGTTAAATCATTTCTGCCTGGTATTTAAGTTTTAAGTGCAGATTGACTCCAAAAAGACTGCATGGAATCACTTCGTGATAATAATTATAATGTAACTTCAAAAAAAAAAAAAAAAACTGTGATGGATTCCACAACTCAAGCATTTTAAAGAGTTTGCCACTTCAATTTATTACTATACAGAGATGAATGGAGGCCAAACAGATGCCTAAATAGAAGGAAATTAGATACAGACGCCTTAAATAGAAGGTGATTAATGGAGTAAAAGATAAGAAAAAACAAAATTCTGCTACATGAATTCGCATTCAGCTTTTGAACTTTTCTCTAATCTTTGCTTTTTCTGTGAAATATTGGATAATTTTACCTCTTTGTGCCTCAATTACTTAAATGGAACTAAACCAAAATCTGAAACATGAAAAGGAGCCCTGACTAGTTATTGATTTTTCATATGGGGCCAAAATGGTGGGGAATCACTGCTTGAATCTTTAACAATTTAATGAATTTGCAATGTTTTAATGCAATATCTTATTTTGAAGAGTAACTACTAACTATATCTGTCAAAATGATGCAGTGGATTAGTAAGAGTAATAATAAGTACCTCAAAATTGTATTTGCTTAGTGTATGTTTTGGATGTAAATTTTGACTCTTTGTACGTCTAGATTTAATACAGTACTTGAACAAATGTACTTCACACTGCAGCCATTCATGTTCAGTGCAGTGACATGGTCAATGTCAATGCATACAATAATGTCCATGACTTTGCAGAGCTTCTCACTGAACTCTTTTACACCATATGGTGACCTTCATACACTATAGGTCTCAGAGGGATGGCAAAAAAAAAAAAGAAAAAAGAAAATGCTGGGTTATAGAAACACAGAGGACAACAGAGGTAGATACACACAACAGTCCAAGGAAAGATGCAGAGGATGTAAAGATGGTCTGGGATCAGTACAAGTCAATACAAAAGAAATGAGAAGGTAATGTGGATCCAGAATTTTAAAAGGGTTGTTATCCTCACTATTCTCAAGGAATAGGCATTTAATGCAAAACAACTGATTTAGAGTCAAAGGCTCATATACTGTATTATCACACATGAGAACCAAGAGGCTATACTGCAAGTCTGTTGCCAGTACAAGCCAAACTGCTCAGAATATAAAAGATTCTCAACAGGCCAATTAAGTAAGAACATATTCATTTATAGTAGTGCAATGAACATAGTAATATAATTAATAAAGGCAAAAGAAGAAAATATATATTTGCACAGTGCAAACAAAGCCTTAATAAGAAATGCTCAGACCATGAATGCACAAATGTGCTATCTCTATGATTAGAATATAAGGACATGAAACAAAGGACGCGCAGCTGGCGTATGTGGCATAATGAAAATAAAATGTTAATATGAATTTTTCATGGAGGAACCTGTGTGACAATTGCCTACGTGTGCATTTTCCGACTGCTATGCATTATTCAACAAGTGAGTGTGACTTGAGGTGGGGAGTTTATTCTTACATTTGACTTGAGAAAAAAAGCAGACTGTGATGAAACCTACAAATAAAAATAATGATATAATTATGTATGAATAAGTCAAAGATGGAGGATGGAGTCTTTTGCAAGTTGAAATCCACAATGGGGCTGAAGATGCTCCGAGCTTCCAGGGCTCCATCTTTTATATCTTGCAGATATGTTCATAGAACACAACAGAGTCTCCAGACAGAAATCTGTAATATAAAAGTCCTACACATACTGGGCAGATGATATTATATAGAGCTGCGCAGAGCAGATGCAGCATTAAAATAGAAATAAAACACAGATAAAGAGCTCGAAGCAATTTAACAGAAAAAAAATTAATCATGATGCATAATAAACCTGAGAGAGATAGTGGTAATTATCATTAAACAACAACACTGATGATTATCACTTTTTAGTTTACCACATTTCTATCATTATATAAGGTATCTTTCATTTTCATATTATTTTGATGGCCTTGTTTAATGTAGTATTTTATTTTTTACCAAACTGTAATTATCTGATGAAACCCTGATCAGGGTTTCTTTGCTATATAAAGTACAAAACTTACAATTTCTCTGAAAAAAATTGTTTCTGTGTGTATCTGACTTTCTGCTACACACTCACACGCTGACACCTCTACAGTCTCCACTGTTCCCACCATCTGCATTTCTGTGAAAGCACAGGAAAAGCAATTTTTAGCATGTTTTCAGAGTGTTTGGCAAAAATAGAAAATTTTAATTTGCACTTCGCCCAAAGTTTCTCCTCAATTCATAAATGATTTTAAAGTGAAAGTCTAAAATTAAGCATCAAGAGAAACCAAACATGCCTTTAATTGGATTTTTTTTTAATAATTTTTCAAAATTCAAGAATCAGAGATGATAACCAACACCTGAATGTGAACAACCAAGCTGAAACCATGTTTCTCATCCATTATATTGAACTGGAAATCTCTTAAATGGATATCTGATGGTGTTTCTGTGGCAGATAGTCACAGAATCTTAATGACAAATTTCATGTAATAATACACATTTAGTTAAACAGAGTTTGTGCTCATCTAAATTCAGAGTGGGTATGGGGTGGCAGACAAATTACATAGAAGGTGAACACTGTCTTTCAGTAATAAAATAAAAAAATAAAAAAGTTTAAAAAAATAAAATATGCATTTCAGCGGATCTGGAGACACCTGTGGTAACTTGTAGTCATAAAAGCCATTTTAATAGTGTATATTTCAAATTTTCAACCAAAACGAAAATGATTTTTTCCATTTTAATTTATGTGTATTTTTAGTAAGAGCACTAAAGTTAACAGTGAAGCAACTGTTAACTTGTGTATTGAATGAGTCCCTGCCTTTCAGTGTTGCTGACTTCACTATATAGCAAAAACTTGACAATAAGACATTTTTTTAAAGAACATAAATAGAAATCTAAAGTCTTGGAGACCTTTTTAGTCTCCTGCAAATGGGTAAGGCAGCAATAATTTTATATTGTGAGGTGTGCATGCCAAATCAAGCTAGCAAACAGACAAGCTAGCTAAATTTGGCTAATTTTTTGCTTAAATTATTTTGTTATTAAGAGAAAACACTGAACATGATGGTGCAACCTCCACTGAAATATTGGGCAAGCGGAATTAACGTATCATTAAAGCTTAAACTGGTCAGTAACACTGCATGTAAAAGCATTTTGCAAAGTTTATTAATATATTTATACTGTACATTAAAATTACATTTGGTGGCGGCCAGTGCAATTTTAAAAGTGGTGTGCCACAGGATCATTTGCTAAAAAAAAAACACTGCCAGTGGATACAATTAAAGGTTACAATGTTAACTGCTATAAAAAAATAACAAATAATTATAAATAAATACTCATCTCATGTCTAATTAAATATGCGACTATTAGCCACCGTTAACGGCTAGAGGCCTAAAACTTGCTCTTCTATTTTGTATTGGATATGCACATACAAGTATTTTAATTCTTTGTTGTAATGGCAGATCCTGCCACTAACAATTACAAATATGAGGGAATGCTATTTAATGTGTGCAACTACATTAAACTGTTCTTGGAGCAAAAGTGCTACGAAGAAAAGGTAAATGCTTCACTAAAGATCAAAATAATCAATACTTTTCAGATGAAAGACAAAACAGCCTTTTTAAAGTAAGTGGAAACATAAAAGCATGAAGCAAGCAGTTTGGAGTATTTCTGGAAACTTCTGAGGTTTGACAGCTGAACATATTTCTGTAGCATTCTCAGACTTCAGAAGAGCGGTATATAAATCATGTTTTGTAGTGCTTATGTCAGCGCCATGTCCAGCTGAGGTCTGCGTGACCTCCAATGTCTCCTGCACCTGTTTTCCACATCCCCTTGTGCATCGGCATCACTTTATATATCCGAGTTCAAAAGCAGTCTTCAGGCTATGACCCCCCCGCCCCCCGACATGAAAGCAACTTTATTAGTCTTCATGTGCATTGTGTGCTCTTTCTTTGTCAGTCTCCACACTTTTCTCTGTCTTCTAACATTTCAAACTCACAGTACCTTTCTTCCTCCTGCTTATTTCTCTTCCTGCCAGTCATTGTTCTTTGCATTGCGACCGGTCTTGCTCAGCACCAAGCTCAGTTCATTCAGCAGATTGGACGGTATCACACCCTCCCCGCCCAGAGTGGGTCTCTTGCTGGTGATTTTACAGCCACTCTTAGGGGGAAGAGGCAAAGGCATCGGCTGCGAGTGTGTGGACAGGGACGGGGACGGGTAAGGGAACTGTGGAGGCTGGCCAATATCCACAGAAGATCTTCTGTGTGGGACCTCCGGGGCTTTGAGCAGGTTGTTGTGCAGACCAGCATCCATGGTGGTCTCCCGGTTGCCACCGCCAAGAGAAATCCTCCTGTGGATCAGTTGTGGGCAAACCTGGCCGATACAGATGAGTCAACTTAAATGCACGAGTGCTAACTTTAACATATTTTAGTAACAGGTTATTAGAATTATTTTGGACATTTTTCTTCAGAGTGAAGCATTTAAAACAAGTTTCAAGCCAAAGCACTGAAAAGCGGATCCTCTGCCTCTTCAAATGTAACATTAATAGTAGCAGAAGCCAGTGTTAGCAAGGCAAAAAAGCATTAGTTAAACAACTTAAATTGCTCATGCACAGCTATTTAAGTGTACTGAATGTAGGAAATAACTAGCTTAATTCTTGAAATGATTGATTTAATGATAATAAATAGATCATAGTTTTTGCTCAGCCATGTTAGCAAATAAGAAATGTTATATAAGTAAGCAGAAACTAAAACTGGCACAGCTTTCCTCACCTGTTTGCTGCAATTGATGCTTTCAGTCACAGCTGCTCCTCTGGACAACTTGTTATCTGCAGCTTTTTTTGAGTTAACGGTCTTCGAACAGAGGTCAGAACCGTACTGAAGACACACAGCCAACAGCCCAAATTTGTGATGGTTGTTGAATGTAGACAACAAAGACAGTTTGTGTTAATATATTGCCTCTTTAAGTGATGTATGCTTCGGATTGATACTCTCCACGTATATACAGGCACACACATGCAGACGGTCGATTAGCAGAACATGGTGTACGCTGTAGTTTTCCTTTTCAATTAATTGTATTCACAATTTATGAGGGAAAAAAAAATGGTTACTATGATAAAGCAAAGAAGAAATAGTGGAAAACAGGATGTGGAAGCTTAAACTGCTGTTTTTGGACAGAAACACAAAGAAACACAAGCACCTTTAAAAAATGAGGGAAAGTCAGAGTGTGACAAATCTCTGTTCCACTGCAGCTCTCTGACTGAATTTTGGTCTCTGGCTAAACTTTCTCTTTAACAATGTCTTCTTTTACATCACTGTGACCCCAAGACCTATAGAACTGTCTCTTTTTAACAAATCCTTATTTCATCACTGCCGCAACCTGTCCTTGGACCTTTACACCCTCCCCCCAACCCTCCAACACTCACCACCACCACCACCACCATCACCACAACCCATTCCACCTTGCTTCAACATGAGGCCCTCCGTTGCCAGTTGCTATGGAAACTGCCGGAGCACAATGCTCTCTAACAGGTAAGAGAAAGGAAATCAAGAACACCAAAGTGCTCTCTGTCTACTTTCTCATCTACACTTTCTCTCTGCCCTTCCCACAAGTCCTGTGTCCTTCCCACAAGCCCCGGCGTTGGAAGCTGACAATCCTGATATTTAGCGGATTTGGGAGGAGAATCCTAATATTTTTAGCCGGCTCCAGTCTGCTATAGATTTAGTCGCTGCAGAGCTAAGGGCTTCTCCAAAGAGCAGAGAAAAGTCACTGAGCCAACTGAAATAAACACCTTGAAACACTTAGAAACAACAGACAAAAATTGGCTTCTCCTTTAGATCCATCTCTCCCTGACAATGTTGCCCTTTTTACTTGCTAACCCAAACTAAGGCACAAAAAGGCTTTTACAGTAAGCACCTGTGATAAACAACACTGTGCTGCAGATGGGCTCCCATAAAGGAAGCCGAGCAGCGGGCTAATACTGACGAAATGTGCTGAGCATACAATACAGAGCTGGGATTTCTCTGTTTGATCTTTCCGTTTAGGATGAGCGTGATGTTCACGTTATAGTCATTTACTTGGAAATGAGCAGAGAATAGACACATGTGCTTGGTCTAATGAGGAAACAAGATGCTATTCACTAAAAAGATAGCAGCAATGAGTGTGAGAGTGAAAAATAATACAAAAATATGACACATTCGTTGCTGTTCTCCTTGTGTTTGCTTTGTCTTGCATTATTTATGTCATATGTGCTGTGTCAGCGACTGACAGCGACAACACTTAGCTGTATCTGGGGGCTAAGTACCACAATGCGATTGTTACAGTCGCCTTGACCTTATTCTCACAGCTTTTCCACATAAAATGATTTATGTTATTGCTGAGTGACCTCGAAAACTTTACAGTTCTTTCCCTGTTTATGTATTTCATCTGCCTAACAGCACAATGGAAATGGATGATTGGGGTAAATATGATTTATCATATCTCCTTGTTCTGAGATACGGATTGTAAAAGATGATTTATTCAGGCTGTAATCAAGAGTATTTTTTCGACCATATAAGGAGGGAGGATATGTCCACATCATGTGTCACATTCGCTGGTATTTTTGGTTTGCAACATAACTATAAAAATGGTTAGAGAAAGGGGACACAGACTTGTCTTGCACTCCCTAAGTAACTGAATGGCTTGAGCCTTTACTCATTACTTCATCAAGCTCCCGAATGAGTGAATTCCTCAATCTTTGCTCCAACATCTCTGTTGCACATCATCTTACCTTCATCCTGATTATGTCCGTCACCCAGCTGAACTGCTCCTCCCTCTTCTCGCAACACAAATGCCTGAGGAGGGAAAACTCACTCACATCACTGATTTCCACATTGTTTTTTTCACAGTAATTTTAAACTGCCGAGTGGATTCAGTGAGTCACTGCACTGGACACAGTTTGTTCTGAGGGGACAGTTCATTGATCACTGTAAATAGAATTGACGATAGGTGGGCTGACTGCCATTAACTATGATTACATGCATCTGCATGGGGAAAGTATCCCTTAGCAGCACTGATTAGTGCTGAAACTAACAATCTAGGATGATGGTTTAAATAATGCCTGTCACCTGCTCAGATTTATACAGTATTCTGTTTGGATTTGAGCTATTTCTGGTGTGTCGTGTACTGTACTGTACTGTACTGTATGTACGTTATTATTAAAGCCCTTTGAGGCTAATTTCTGATTTGTGAATTTGGGCAAAACAAAAAGGACTAAAATTGACAATATAACATCTTCTTTTTTCTTTGGCATAGAAATGTAAGCACTTGCTAAACAATACATATTCCCTTTTTTATTTAATTTTTCTCATCTCATCTGTTTCTTTAAATCATTTAAAAAATGGTATTTGGTAAACATAGATCAAAATATGCCTTAATCAAGCTAGCAAGATTAACAGTCTACAGCTATGCTAACAGGCTGTATTTAGCCACAGCAGTGCTTTGAGCTAAATGCTAACATCAACATAGTGTCAGTGCTAACAAGCAAATGTTTAACAAGTATAATCTTTAACCTGTTCACTGTCTTAGCTTAGCATGTTAACATGCTAACATTTGTTGATTAATAAATGAATTATTTTAGTCCGGACCAAAGTAGTGAGCTGATCAACCAAGAGCCTTGTTGTTAGCATGACTGAAAAATAAAGCCTAACATCCAACTGTGACGGAAATGTTCCCATCCTGTTCAAAAAGGTCTTATTTTATTAACTTCATTGTATGTTATTTCACTTCCTACCTGTTGACCAGAGAGAAGCCTCTCACCATGTGACCATCAGTAATACTATTTAACCGGACCGATGCTCCCATTACTAACCCACTTAGATCACGACGACGTGCTTTAACTTCAACTTTATAACTCTCTTCCACTTGATTCTTTCTGTTTTAGAGATATTTTGAGTGGAAAGTATAAAAGTCAAACTCATCAATGATTGAACAGGAGGACTTCTGCATGGCACTCACCATTGTTGTTTATCAGTGTAGACTGTGAAGCCCCAGCTGTTGAAACGAGAAGGACATGGGTTAGATTTTGAGATTTCGCTTCTGCAAACTGAAGCTTACAATTCCCTGTGCACCAGATTCTTTTGGAGACAGAGGTTATAAACATGTTTTTGTGATGTATCCAACTCAACAATAAAGAGAAAACTTGGTGAGAAAGTATTGTTAAAGATAGAAGCGGGTCAGAACCTTTTCATTAAAATGCAAAGAGGAAAAAAAAAGTTCACTACAAATGCTAGGTGCTAAAGAGTGGAGTTAATTAAGTTAATCAGTGCACTTCCAGCCCACATGTTTATGCATGCGCAAGCCTCCGTATGCTCTGGGTTAAAGTATACAATACACTGAGCGCATGTTGTTCACCTTTAAGGTTTAATTTATAGATTAAATTTAAGATTGTTGTATACTTAAAAACGCATGGATATGTGTATATGTGTGTGCATTTGTGAGAATTAACGTGGACAGAGGCAGTATAAGGTGAAAAGACCACCTTCCTGGAGAATACCTCTCCCTGAAACCTTTCACAGCTGTGGCTGAACAGGAGCAGAGGAGTGGGGGAAGAACAAAGCGAAAGAGGGGGCAGAGATAGAGAGCCCGCAGCCTGGAGCACCACTCCTGTGAGTTAAGGCAGCCGATCCAACCCCGCAGTAGGCCGCTCACAGATAGACCTCTGCCTAATGAGGTACTGGAGCGCTGCCTCTCCTAACCCTCTCACTATGACTCTCTCCGTTCTCCTCAGCACTCTGTCTTTATTTCTTTATTCAGCGTATCACTTCTCCCACAGCCCACTCAACAGTATATCTATGATACCACGCTGTATCATTCTTTCCTTCTGTCCCTCTTTCCCTCTCTTGCTTCATCTCCCTCTTCTTCCCTCTTATCCACTTTTTCTCCCCTGAAGGACTGCGTAATGCAGACAATCGCTTGCTGGACTCATTTTTCACGCTTCCCCAGACTCGAAATTCCGACATGGGGAAAATTATGAGGAATTGTAATTGGGTAATGTGAAATATAGGGTTTGGCTTCTCAAAAAATTCCCTCTTTGTTTGACCAACAAGAACTGCTGCACTTTTGCCATGTGTCATAAATTATAATAATAGAAGATCATTAAAATATAACAGCGGCGGCAATGTTTTCAACCCACAGTAGCAGAGTTTGATAATTTGTATTTGTTAAAATGCAATTACATTTAATCAGTTTCATTACAGTGAAAAATAAGATGGGGTCAGGAGTGGCTTGGGCATCCCAAACTTTGAGGGGAAAGAGAAAGGGCAATATATCTTTGGGGACTATTAGCTCAGACACAAACTGTTGCACATGTGCACAAAATACGCTTGAAAAGACAATAGCGATACTAAATAATCACTGGTTCTTTTTATATACACAATAGGGGTTGATTCGTTAAGAATGTGTAGCAGCTGTTTTGGTGCTAATGAGTCACTATATGTTTTCCAGTGAAATGACAAAACATTGTTTGACTCAAGGCAATATTTATCGCACCACAACATATGCAAGGAGGGAATGGAAGTTTAAACAAATGGCCTGGAACAGTAGTAACACTTTAACTCAAGGACCACTTACTAGCTTCTTGCAGAGCATTTAACTGCATCTCACTGTCTTCCACAGCAGTCTGCTTCGTTGCAAAGGTGATAATGTGACAAAAAAAAAAAATGCTGATGAATTGACCTAGAGTTAGCCCATAACTTGTCTTGTCAATCTTCTGTTTCCACATACATATTTTACCCATGATGTGAAAAACCTTCCATGATTCATTTTCTATTATTTACGGAGGCCTCTTTAATTCAATCCCTGACCTTCATGTTGAGCTGAGAGCATATTTTTTACTACCTTATTCTTGCTCGTAGCCTTTTCTTCTTGCAGCGAAAAACGTGCATAGTTGAAATTTCCAAATACATTAGATTTATTACTTTCTTTCTCCAATTATTTAACAGCCCAGTATCAGGCCTCAATGGTCAGCAGCACATTCAAGTTTAGTCAAATGTAGCTGCGCTCATTTATTTCAACGGTGTTGATGAAAACTGGAAACATGGCGGTGCAAGACTATTATTTAGATAATTTTATTGCAGAGATTTTAATTAATTTTAATCCCTCATTCACATACATTCAGACACTAGAGATGTATCACGCACGTGGAGTGCAGATTACCTGGTTGGAGGTTTGAGCTTTTTCTTCAGGCCTAGGTAACATTTCAGAGACTTGAGCTGGATCACTTTCTCTGCTTTAGTGCTCTGCAAAACAAAAAACAAACAAAAAAAAAACAAAAAAAAAAAACAATTGAATATTTTGGATAAATACATGAAGGAAAAAAACTAAGCGAGAAACACATTACACTCAACTTAACAAAATAAACCAAGATTTTAAAAAATGCCGGCAAATGATCTGTACTACTTCACAGCATCACAGCACGACAATCAATCAACTTCTTTCAAGCAACAAAGAAGAAAGTAGAAGAGAACAAAGCCAGAAAAATATAAGTAATAACTTGAGTCTGACACCTACACATCACACTACCCACTCCGTCTCCTCCAACACAATTTGCACTAAGTATAGACCTGACAATAATTGTAGAAGCCAAAGATATCAATTAGATTTCATTAACACTTCTCATTTCCTTTGCATTCATGCAGTAATTAGCCACATTCGTGTGCAACCTGATATTTTAAAAAAGCCTTCGGAGAAAGCCCCGCTAAAACGCCCCTCCCTACAGGCAGAATTACTGCACTTCCATCAATTATTAACACTTCTTCTCACTCCTTTACGAATCCCATGTTTCAGCTGCAGAAATGTGCTGAGAAGAAAAGCCCTCCAGGGAAAGCACTCTATTCTTCCTTTTCAAGAGAGAGTGGGAAGTCCAGTGCCATGAGTGTGTTTTATATTCCTCCTTAACGCCAAGATTTGGAACCCCGAGACGGACATGTCGCCAGGGATATGAAGCACAGAGAGTTTGGGTGGAGTTCGATCTGTGTGGTTGCAGTCATGCAGGCTCTGTTTTAACACATTTTGGTATTCTTAAGCAGCTCTATAACCTTTTAAATTCCCTCGTGATACAAGGCACGCTCTGCTCGCCAGATAGTTTGCGTGTGCATGAGAAAAATCCCTACGGTGGCAAGTGTTTACAGTAGATGCGGCAGTAGATTAAGTCGGAAATAAAAGTGTACTCACTTTGATATCTCTGTAGAGCAGCAGCTTCTCTGCACGTAGTACAACATATTTGTCTTGGAATTTGTGCCCCGACAGCAGTTTGGAGGATCCATCATTGAACTTCAGATGGTCGCCTTTAATAAACTGCCTTTGGTCTGCTATAACACAATGACATCAATTAAAAGGGAATATTTTCTATCCGCGCAAAGCAGAAGCAGTAGACGATCAACTGGTGCGGAAAAAAATCAGTCAGTTTAATCAATACTTTGATCAACACAAATTTTGATAACTGATTATAAGTAATATTAGATTATAAGAGTCATAAGTCATTTATGAAGAAAAAAGCTGTTTAGATTGTCAAATGTGATGGTTTCACTAGTTGTTCTGTTGTATGCTTTTTTCCTGTTTTTTCAGTTACATAATTTAAAGATGTCACGATTGGTTCTGGGAGCTACTCACTGTTGTATAGCTCCATGGATAACTATGTAAACTGTTTGTCCATTGCTTTTAGCTAACAAATATTTCAAATGCTTATGCATTACTATTTAACTGTTTACAAGCCATTGCCAATTACTTTCAATGGAAAGTTGCTGCTATAAAGCCTGCTTGAAAAGTCACTTAATGTCGCTAGATGATGTAATACACTAATCAGCACATTTTATGACGTCATCGTGTTGTATTCGCATTCAATTCAAATCTTATTTGTATAGCACCAAATCATAACATATATTATTTCAAGTCACTTTACTAGGTAAGGTCAAGACCTTACAATATTATAGAGAGAAACTCAACAGTTGCCACAATGAGCAAGCACTTCAGTGACAGTGACAGTGGGGAGGAAAAACCCCCTCCCTTTTCACAGGAAGAAACCTCCAACAGAACATTTTTTTAATAATGACATCAAATTTTTTCCAATTAGTTGAGTGGAAAATCTTTCCAAACACCACTTGGCTGCACCCTACCCCTTGGGGTAACAGTTGGTTGGGAATAACTGGTATAGACTAAACAATTGATAGAAAAAAAAAGTAATCAACACATGAATATGTAATGAAAAAAAAAAAACATCAAAAGAACTGACAACGACACATAACTAGTACAAAAGCTGTATAAAAAAAAAAATAAAAATCTGCATTAAAAAGCATCATTTTCTATGACTTTGTACCATCAATAGCATACTTAACCTTTCCCACCAGCCACTCCTTTGGCCCCTGCAAACTTCTTTATAACAAGAAAAGCTGAGCTTGGGCAGTCCAAGGTACTCCACTCCAACACCTGCTCAAGAATCTTCTCACTGTGGTGCAACGGGCGCTCTGTTGAACATTAAAACAACATCGGGTCAAAGGGAAGGGAATAATCAGCAGGTACAGTAAATCTGCGAGGAAATAGCAATGGTCAAACAACAACGCTTAGAAAAGTCAACCACACACAGCAAAGCTCCCTTCTGCCTTCTGGTCATACATGAATTATAAATGCATAAAACAAAATCACAACCTCATATCGTAAAATCCATGACTAATTCTAGTTAACCAAATAACAAAATTATGTTGTTGTTCTCCCCATTTTCATCACAGAGTAGTTTAAATTATCTCTAGCATATCAGGACCTGATTATAAAAACACACTCATGTGCAAAATAGACCTATTATCTCTTCCTAAATGGTGAACAGGGTACATGCTATCAGCCAAAAAAAAAAAAAAAAGCTGATAATTTGTGTACCACCACCCCTGCTCTGATGCCTCCATCTCTACACTCCCCTGTTTTTCATAACCGAAGGAGGTAAAAAGAGCCACAATGGCATAACTTATTCATAACAGTGAGCTTATCTTCTCTCTGGAATCTCTGCAGACCCAGGCCATGGAATTAGTTCCTCATTTCCCAACAAATATTAGCTCCCCTTTTCTGCCTATTGTCCTCGATAACAGTGTTTATCTGTAGCTATCCCCCAAAATGGCTAATTAACGCACTTTCCCTCCCTTCTTTATGGTTTTATGAGCAAAACCTGTCACGCTACTGCCTTCAAAATAGCTTGACTGTTTACTCTTCCACAGACATATTGTCTTGGCATGGAAAATATGCTGAACTGTCAGCAAATATATTCAGTATTCAACACACCTTCATTTTTAGAAGAGGACAGCCTGCCCTCTGTAACTTTGCGAGGAGAAAAACAAACATAAGAGCGTGGTGTAAACTCTCAGTGAACTGATGAAAAGTGCACAGGGACCGCCAGCTAAGCAACTTCACGACAAAGCTCAACTTTGACTTCCCCTTGCTCGCTGCTTACTGTGGTATGATCAAATGCGAGCGTGCGAGCGTGTGAGGTGCCATCAGCGCATATTAATGCAAGATGAGGTGGGTCAGTTCCCTAGGTTGATCATGCGAGTAAGATTAAGGTAATTTATGACATATGATGGTAAAGATGATTAATTAATGTGCATATCATCAAACCGACGATGCTTGGCTAATTTCCCAGTGTGCTTCCATGTTCACAGAGACTGCTTTATTAGAGAGATAGCATAGTCTTCTAATCACGAGGTCCTCCGATGAGAGGAAGTGTGATCTTTCTATATGCCCTGCATGAGAATAGCCATTTAAATGCTGATGTGACACATCAATCACAAATTGGATAAACTTTAAATGTCGGTGGAAAGTTTTTAGCTGTGATCATTCAACAGGTGTCTAATGATAAGAGAAATAAGTTTTTAGCGTGCTTAACATGAGCACTTTTAGAAGTGTACATCTAATAGTACGTTTTTCCATAATACATCATAATACATTGGAGTTGGAGCCACAGCTGATATAAGTCAGTAATTAAAGCAGAGGCTGAATTAAAAAATTGAATGAGAAAAGAAAAAGGAAATTACATATCACGCTAACTACCATGACATGTTGAAAAATATGAATTAATTGATTGTTCATAAACACAGTGAAATGAGGACAAAACTACAGACTACAATGGCAAGGGAAATCATTTTCATGAAGATGAGTGTATAGAAACACAATCACATTTGTCAGGTCTCTGTTAATCTACTGCAGCACTTCAATTAAAGAATAAGAACTCCTTGACTCGAACAAAAGAGAAGAATGAGGTATTCATTCCTAAAGATGCACTTCTGGTTGATTAAAATAAAATGCTTGTTTAATGTCTTCAAATGGATTCTAAGAAATGCTATTGAAGTTGCTTTTGCAGCTACTATGAGTAGAGTAAATAGACATTTCTAACGCTTGTTCTTTGATGTCATCATGGAGGAAGTGAGTTTACCCCAAAGCATATTTTGCTAATGCTAACCCCTAACCCTACACAAGAGTAGAGTTACTCTCAAGAAGGATATGTAGAATATACAATTGCTGGTTTCTAATGCAAGTTAGTTGAATATGAACAAACGCCAGCAGAAAACAAAATAGTGGTCAACAGCCATGTCTCAAAACTTTATGTGCTTGTGAACCTTTGAAGTGAAGTAAGGTTCACATGTTTGGAAGTGAATGCAGAAGTACAACCGAAGTGTGATGTTTTCGAATTCGGAATCATCACTGTTTGAAATGTAGTGTTTTCAGGGTTTGAATCGGTATCATGAGGTGACTCTCAGAGAGTCCTACATACCTAGCTCTCCATTCTCAATGACTTCAAAGGTGGTCCAGAGGTCATCACCGCTGAAGGCGACGTTCTTCGTGCTCAACGCCGTTTCAGCGAGCTCCGTTGAGCACATGCTGGGAGAGACCTACCGCGAGCACAACAAACAGATAAATTCATACCTCAGCAAACAGCACAATGAATAAAAACAATAAACAGAAAAAGAACAAAAGCTCAAAGCTCAAAAGATCATAAGCTCTCTCTGTTGATACCGCTGCCTTGAACCATCTCTCCCTTTTGAGCAGCCACTCAATATTTAACATGTCACATTTATTGCAAAGATATTTGACTCGCAGGCATATCCACGCCGCACTGATTAAATACTTGCTTCTTTGTCAAGTTATTAGGTGTACCTGAAAAGCAAATGTGCTGCCTTACTCCAGGGGGAGAGAGTGGAGTATTAAAGTCCAACTGTGCTGCTGAGCGTTCCTCTTTAACCCCATCCCTATTCTGCCGCCGCCGCTGACCTGAAAGGAATCCGTAACCTACAGCGGTCTACGTGCCTTGTAAAACGCAATTACTCACACAATTAAATCAGACATTTCTTTGATTAGTTCGCTTTTGATTTATTTCAGTGGTGGTAATCCCATCAGGTTAAACCACGGATGTCTCGGCCCTATTCTATCAACCTCTCCACCTCTCATTCTGCCCACCCTCATCCCTCTTCCTTTCTCCTGCATCACCTGCCTTCATCCCACACTCGGTCTCCCCCCTCCCCCTCCCTCTCCCTCTCCGCTATACCACTGAAGGACCTATGGGAAAGCAGGCACACACATTGACAACATGCCTGTTGAAAGCACAGATGCGCACATTAACACACAGACACACACAGACCCACACGCACACACGCACACACACACACTTATACCTTGATTAAACAGCAGTTCTCTGGCTCTCTCTTTTCCAGGTACACCTCGAAGATCAAGTCCCCAGCTGGAGAGAACTGAGGAGGGAGGGAAAAGGAAAAAGGAAAGAAAAAAACCCAGTGTGAGACAGAGAGATCAGCTGAATTACAAAAGCAATGGGTTGGATTGATTGGCTTTTCTCCTAAATTCCTTGCTCCAATGTGGCATGAATCTAAATGGAGAAAAGTGAGAGAAATGGTTGGAGGATTTGTGGAAACCAAAGGTCGTTTTTGGAGCTAGAGGCAAAGTAAACCCTGTAGCGATTATGGAATGCCAAACCAGGCTAAATAAAGAGAACAAGTGTGAAACAGAGACACTTGTAAATGTGGAAGTGTAGGGTGTATGTTTCACCTACACTAAAACTGAAATGCTTTCCTCAGGTGTTTGTAGAAAGTGAGATTTCCTTGCGTTTTGTTAAAATTATAAAGCAGGTGCTATATTAATACTGTGAAGGTATCAAAGCGCTCAGTCCACAGAGAAAAATGCACGCAGCCTGTATTCAGGAACTGTGCCTTAAAACGAGCCGTCATGACTTCCTTAACTTTGTGATGTCACTGTCCCCAGCCACACCCTAAACCCTGCCCACCTGGACCCACCATCCAAGCCTCGCAGGATTTGGTTTCTCTTGAGTGTTCGCCTGAAATCTGCTATATTTCTATTCAATCACTCAGAAAACAGTCAGCCAATCAGAAGAGAGCTCTCAGAGCCTCTCACCTGATTGGCTCACCAGAGAGGAGATGTAAAATTACATTGATATGGTTTTGGTACTTATAACCACACATATATCTTCTTATGGGGATCAAAACTTCAGATAAAACACAGGAAAAGTGTAAAATATGGGACCTTTAAAGCAAAGTGTCAGAATGAACCCAGCAGATATGTAGATCTAATGTCATCTAATGTTAAAACCTTTATAAAATGTTGCCTTTCTGTAAATGAATTACCATAATGTCTTTGATTTCTAGTCATCTACTGATTTTATATTGATTTCTGAAAGCTACATAAGCTAATCAGTGCATATTAAACAAAATGTTAAAGATTCAATACACCCCAAGTTCATGAAGTTTCTAAACCTTGGTGGCAGTAAACAAAAGTTAAACAACATTAAAACACTAAATTGCTTTCTTGAGAATTAGATGAGAGGATTGATACCACTCTAATATCTGTCGATTAATTATGATGCTAGAGCCGGGAGGCAGTTATCTAAGCCTGGCAGTGGTAAAAGAAGCCTGGTAAAGAAAAGGAGGGAAACTGTTAGCGCTGCTCTTTCCACACAAACAAACAAACAAACAAATAAATAAATAATGAATAGGCTTATCATGTAATCCGTACATAAACAGAAATGCAAAGAAGGTAATTTGTGGTAGGCTTTGCTGTGTAACTGCAAACCTGTCTAGTTTAGAGTTTGTTTCTTCTTGTGTATGTATTAAGCAAAAAAAGATTTAACATTTCATTTACTTGTGCCTAGCTTTAGAGGTGTTAACTTACCCAAATGTTTCACCTGCAGATCAACAGATAGGAGATGACACAGTAAATATAAATTTTAAACTAAATGTAACCTCTGTGAAATTAAAACAAAGAGTTTTAGGTGCCTGACATTCAAGAGGTATGGTCGTCAGTATAAATCACCTTTCTCGGCTTCCAATTAAAAACTTTTTGGTGTGAAAAACCAGAGAAATTAAGCAAGAGAGTCAAAATGTAACTTTCTTTTTAGCTCATTTGAGGCACTAAGTCCAAATTTCTGGCAGTCTAAGGGGAGTGGTAATCCATCTCTAGAAAATGAACAACTAAGTGAGCACGAAAGGTTTCTTTTCCTTTGGCTATCTGGAAATTACAGTTACTTTTCCTTTGTCATTTTAATGTGCAGGTGAATTGAGGTCCATTATTGGCTTGAGCTGGGAGAACTATCGTATGATAAGAGGGAGGAAGCCACTTCTGACTCCCGTGGCCCTAAAATGACACAGAAATTACAGTCATTCAAATCAATGGAGCGAAAGCTGTAATTGTGAAAATGTCACACACAGATATGGGACCATGCTGGGTTTCTCAGTACACTCTTCCTCCTTCCCTTTCATTGTTATGTGATGGGAAGAGGACCACGCACACTTTACAAATATAGCATCTGCACAGTCGAAAAGAAAGACGGGAAATGAAGATGCCGACAAATTTCCAGCAAATTACAGCTGGCCAATTTGGCCAAAAAGGATATCACGATAAAAATGTTCATATCACTCAATATAGATAATTATTGATCATTTTTAGTGACCTTCTTTGTTTTTCCTTGTACCGTTTGGATTTTTTGTCATATGGTGTTGTTGCTGAGTACTTCTCCATCATCGACTGCCTGTGGGTTGTTTCTTGAGATGTAGCAGATGGTGGTCGTGACTGACATGATGTGTAATCCATAGGGTGATAAAATAACTTTGTTGTATTCCCGCTTTTGGTCAGGGCAGTTTTCCTGCACAGCAACGTTGTTTTGATATCAGGCAGGACTCAAAGAAACCAAAAAACTACCACACTGGCTAAACGTCACCGGCTGCACTCACTCTCTCCCTCCACGCTTTTGCTGTTGTTAGTGTCACCCAAAATCACACCTGTTAAATTATTGGCGGTTTGTCACTCGAAGCACGCTCCATTGTCAAGGGATATGATCGCCTGTTTGTTGTGAGCTGGGGAGGGAGCATGCTTGAGGTTTGTTCATGCAACTGTGAAACTATTGGACTTTTTATCGAACTATTTTCATATTCAGATTGGTAAAGTGTCTGTCAACAGTACACATCTCTACTGTTTTAATCACCCAGGCCTAAAGATAATGCAACAAAAATAAGTGTTACACAGTTTTACAGCTACCAAGGTCATACTACCTCTGCACTCACCGTGGCTGTAAATTCAGGTATTAATTTTGAAGTGCCACTTCTAACTTAGAAGGCATGACATTGCTTTGCACCTCATTATATCACTGATTTACTTACTCCCTAAGTTTAGCCACCCTATCCACTTGCAGGGTGCAGGCCTCCTTGTCATTCTCTGCTTTTAAAAAAGGGAAACAGATTAGATCAGACCCTTTACCTGCAGGGGCCGAGCCCTCTGAGACAAGCTTCCTGCGAGTGTCAAAAGCGCATATTGTCTTGGCATTCGAGAGCAGACTCAAGAGCCATTTGTTCAGTAAAGCCTACATCTTGTACCTTAACTCCTACCTCCTCTGTTTGGCAACATCCGCACTCTAGTTTGAATAGTGCAATAGTTCAATTGTAAATCTTCTCATGTCAAATGCACCACGAACCACGAAATCTGTGTGCTTTTAGCCATGCTAGAGTCATCGCTCCAGGGATGGTAGGGTCAGTGTAGCTGGCAAAGGCACGAGTCCGAAATACATTTCTTCTGGAAAGCCACAGTATTTTTTCTCTGTCCTAACTTATTTTCTCTCTGAACTCTAGTAGTATTTCTCCATTCACACAAGTTTCTTTTTACTTCTCCAGAGTAAGTGTCTCTCCAAAACTGTTGACATTGACAACACTGCACATCTGAATCTAGAAAAAATGCTTAAGATAATTATTTATTAGCTGAAAAAAAAAAAATCCAGTAGCAAGCAGTGCTCCAGCCTCAACTGAGTCAGTTAAACATTATCATGCTGCATTTTTATATACAAGTGTTTATGAGAAACAGAGTAAAAGAGAGGTAAATGTTTAGTGCCGATTAGCATGTCACCATGGTAACCTGCTAACATTAAATGCTAAACATCAGCATGTTAGCATTCTGATGTAATGCCTTTAATAAAAACTACCATTGTGCCTAAGTACAGCCACACTAAGCTGCTAGAATGACTGTAGACTCCATTTTGACATCAGCAACCCAGGCATCAGTTTGCTTAACTTCACAGTGATGGAAGAAAGAAGAAATAACTGACCTTCCTGAGCTTGTCAAGTAAAATGTCTCAGAGATACAAAAATCTACAGGATGAATGAAGATGATTAAAGACATTGTTTCACCACCATCTTCAAGACTGTCTGTAAAGAAAAGGTATTTTTAATCTAAGAACCTGAACTGAAAGAGACTTTACATCATTCCAATGGTCCACTGAATGAAAAGCCAAAGATGATACAGATGATATATAAACCTGAGCCATGAACCACTTTAAATGAATGGATGAATATCGTGGACATTTCATGTTACAACATTAAACTTGCACTTCCAAATCGGTCGTTACAATGACTGGGTTCGATTGCTCTGCTGCTTAATAATGTTTACTAATATTTTAAATCATCCCTAAAATAAGCTTTCCCATTATCTCGACAGAGAAATCTTCCCCATGCTGACTTTTAATTACGCTACATGATTATATTTAATGTCTTTTTGTCGACTACAGTTTTCCTCGGTGCATAGCATAAAACCTGCCAAAATTCGTATCCATAGCCAAAATGCTGCCCCAATTTTCACCTCTGACAGCTTTATAATAGCACGGGCTTTCTGCTGCGTAACCCTCCTGACCCACAGCAGCAGACATGTTCTGAAAAGTCTATGGACAAGGTGGAGAGAAGTGTGTGTGTGTGTGTGTGTGTGTGTGTGTGTGTGTGTGTGGGGGGGGGCATAAACAACTTACTTCAGATTTCAACAACAGCAGCGGCATGTGATTAAATTTTTTTTTTTCCAGTTATCCGAACCAAATGTTTTTCTCGGCTGAGGCATCCAGGCATAAAGTACCTGCCGTAAAGGTTAACAGGAACAAAGCCCTTTTTCCTCACCTGCCTGCTCCTGCCCCCCCCCCCCCAATCCAGAACCCCTTTATTTTTGCCAGAAAAACAGGAAACCTGTTCAAATGAATCCCTGATTTGAGACACCTTGACGCATGCGGGCAAATCAATATACACACACACACACACACAACACCCATTGGTGATTTGGGTTCTGTGGGTCGACTTACTGTGGTGTCCTTCTTGTCGTTCCAGCGTGTGATGAAACTATTCTCTCTCTCCATCTGTTGCACCTGGTCTTCATTGACCTGTTGGAAGCATCACAAAATAGCACGCACGCATGCACAAACACGCACAGACACACACACACACACACACACAATTCAAGTCAAACTCAGCCAAAGAGAAACTTTCGGATCAAGTTAACTGCACTTGAGAAATATTAAATTGCTTCATGGAATCATAAAGCCGTTTTTCAATAGTAATATTAATTTCAGCACTTAAATACAATACACGGAAGACCGGATTGAACCAGGAAAAAGGTATCATCACGCAAACTGTAGAATTGGGTCGTTCAGCTGACACTCCTAAAACTAATTTCAAAGGAGGAAGTTGGCTGTGAGTGTTTGACACAGCTCAGCACCAAGTGAATACTCTTTTCTTTCACGAAACTCTGTGTGGGAAATGACATTTTTTATTCCAACTTTTTTTCTTTTTTTTTTTTTTTAACATAATTATCATTTTCAGAGAACAATTTGCTTTGTTAGAGTTATACGAATGGCAGAGAAGATTGGGGGGAGAGAAAAAAAAAATTCACAAACTCATCGTGTGTGTGTTTAGGCCTGATAATGGGCCCCGTCGACGACATCCAGCACAGAACTGGCGCTTTAATTAGCGAGACGTCTCACTCGTTTTGTGTCACAGCGTGTGTATTCACCGCTATTGGGCTCATGATTGGTTGAGCTTAATGGCTATTTGTCATGCGAATGATGGCGTCTCGAACCGATTTGGAGTGAATGCTCCTCCTTTAACGTCAGAACAAGAGGGATCCAGGCGTTCCGCTGGGAATTAGCAGTTGCTCTGTGCTGCGTATCCCATAAGCCAGGCAGCTCTCCAAGGGTAACATTGATCCCACACCCCCGCCCGTCCACACATCAGCAAAGTCAAGCCTATTGTGGAGATTTGGCAACAACAGTTCTGCTCCCCAGATGGTTGAAGTAAGGGAGTGTAAATAAAGTCATGCCTGCAGCCTGGTTTAGATATGCAATATGGTAATATCTGTATGCTTTGATAGCTGTTTATTTATAGCTGTTTTTTCCATCATTGATCACTGATTGGACAGTCAGACAGACAAATCCAGTGGACCAAGCACATGAGATTGGATATACCCTATTCCTACTGTTATGAATATAAGCAGAAATATTTCATGGATGACTTAGATAATAGGTAAAACCGCCTGTCACAGGTTAGCTACAATGCCAATGAGGAAGTGATGCAAAGCCAAAAAGTTATTATAATACACGGGTTATGGTAAATAAAGCTGGGCAGTATAAATGAGAATACATAAAACTATGCTAAACTATATTAATTATGGATGGTAGTGGTGTATGCAACATGTATGTACTGCTGTTTTTTTGTACATCAATACAGTATTACTCCTACACACTGTCAGCCATCAGTCACTCGTATTCACTTTGGTAAGTAGTTTTAGTATTGACATTTTTTGTCTATCAAAAACAGAGTAGATAGATAGATAGATAGATAGATAGATAGATAGATAGATAGATAGATAGATAGATAGATAGATCACTGACAGGGAGGGAAAAAAAAATCTGATTTTTCTACCATTATATTTTTCTTCTATCAAAATGGTACCTAACATATAGAACAGAGGCATAAGCCTGGCCTCCTTTCGCCTCAAGCGAGAGATGTCCTGAACAAGATTCCAGTGTTATTTTTTGTTCTAGGTGACCTGTTTTTTTAATATAATCTCTGTGTTTTCTGGAGATGTGTGCCGTCTGTGTGTGCAGAGCAAAGTCGGCGAAGACACCTGTTTCCATATTTGGCCGTTAATTCTGCCAGCAATAACCTGAGCAGAGTAGCACCAAGTATACCAACTGTTCTTTCTTTTTTTATGAATTACATAATGCGTGTTTATGCAATAGAAATTGGATGTTATCTAACTTACAGGTGGACGATATCATGTAACCACACTCAGCTCAGCCTTCTGTCAACCTCATTGTCTCCCAATCAGCTGCTCTCCACTTTCAGCGCTGTCAAATGGCAAAAAAAAAAAGAAGCAAACAGCACTTTTGACTTACACTGAAGAGTGTAATGTAGTTGTTGATGAGGTCATGCACCACGCTAATTTCCTGTGGGGTTTGTCCCCGAGTCTGGAACAAGCAGGAGGAGAAGACGGAGGCCAGTTTTTCGCTCGGCATGTGGTTGATGTGAGAACACTGCTGGATCCTGAATCACAGGGACGAGACATGTTTAGGAAAAAAAAAAAAAACCTCTTTCAATCTCTAATGCCCACACATACTCCACACTCACACGGACTTTAATGAAATGCGAGGCCTCAATCCAAATTCAGCAAAGGGCCAATAAAGTCTTCTCTAAACTATTTCCATCATTAACATAATGCAGCTAAATCACGACTATCCACAGCAGGTTTCCGGAGAAATGAGGTGTAATGTGCGTGTCAGTGAAGGAGACATTAAGACGGCAGTGTTTGGATTTAAATGCAACTGCGGGTTGACTTCTTGTGTGGAATGCTGACACTGTGGATTGTACACAGCGTATGTGCAGATTCCCACTATGTACATCAGGGGTTCCACCTCCAACCTGTAATGTATTAGTAGACATTTCTACACATAAAGCAGAGTAACAGTGCTATTGAATGAAATAAATTACTTTCAAAACAAGCCCACACAGCCAAAAATGCTCGAGTTTATAACGTAAGCACGATTTATCTTATGGACTTCAACTACTGTATGTGTGAGGTTTTAATAATGAGCCACTTGATTCGTCTTGCTTTGTAAATCCAACAAAAGGTACAAATAGTATGGAATCGATTCATCATATTCAACCTAAGGGCGCTGTTGCTTCAGTGACAAAAAAAACTAAAAAAAAAACAGCCTTTTCCTTTTCTGCTTGCAATCTGAAGGACCTGCCACCATCTCAGCTCCATATACAACTACAGCATCCCCGACTAAATTCAATTTGATTGTTAAGATGATTAAAAAAACTCACACACATAACAAAGGAGCGAGTGGGTCAGAGGAAAACAAGGGGGGCGACAGGCTAATCAGCAGGTGACAAACAGCAACCCTAAGGCGACTCAGGCCGCGGGACCTTTGAGTCCCTGTACTTGTTCTGTCTGATGCTACAGAGCTGCACCTGTTCCATCAGCCACAAATTCATTCAAAAACGTGATGAAGATGCAGACTTTTTAAATCTTTTTTTTGGCTGTTTTAATAGAGTCACAATGCATCATTTGGCATCAGAAGGGGGCTGTGTATAAATAAAGCGATCTGTTGGATCTCTACGTCGCATCGAGTGCCATCAAGTTGTCGCAAAAGTGGCTGCACTGATTAAGTTGATTTTGGACTTTATCACATCAAACCAAACAGAGATGGATCACAGTTAGCTCAGCGTAGCGCAGGCGAAGGCCCAGAAACATTTTCTTTCTGATGACAGCAGCACAAGAAACAAACCAGACAGAGATACAAACAGGCACAGAGAGAGATAGAAGTAAAGCTATATACAGTAGGCCAGAGAATATAATATGAGGTGAGTTTTATAATAAAGGGTTAGTCATACAGCTGTCAGGGGCCTGTTGTGTTGTCCGTCCAATTTATTGCGTTTCCTGTTTATTCATAAATATGGGAAGTACATTGTTCAATGTTGTTTTGGCATCTTAATCTCCTGGTTTTAATGTTTTGAAAACACTTCACAACATGAATGTCCCCGTCAGGATATTAATGTTTACACAGACAGGGAGCATGACCTTGAAAAACCCTCTCTAGTATAAGCTCTAAACGCATCTCATATTTGAAGCCTGTGTGTGTGCGTGTGTGTGTGTGTGTGTGTGTGTGTGTGTGTGTGTGTGTGTCTGTGTGTACCTGTACAGATGTTGCAGCAGAGCATCGAGGGTTGACCTGTTTATCTTTGGCAGACTCTCTATGAAAGTGGAGTATTTCTTCACTCTCTGCCTCTCATCCTTCTCATCTGTAAACCCACACAGATGAGGAGTACTTGAAATAATGCCAAATGTAACAAACTATAAACGGAGACATGACCATGAACACAAAAAGGAGATGAGGGTCACACTGTACTTTTTGTATTATTTATAGAACATTTAATATTTTTTCCATCGGTAGTGATGAAATCGTGTGTCTGCTGTTCAAAAACAGCATAAAGCAAAAAACATGGACTGTATATCTTTGAGACATTGGCATATTTTGTGTCACTCCATGAAAGTTTACACCTAACATACCTAGGGCAGACACCCAGTATGGATAGAGCTCCTTGGTCAGCAGCGCGTCCTCGGCTTGGGTTAAGAAGCTCTTGAGGGTGTCTGTCACGTCCTCCAGCTGGTGCTCCTTCTCTCTCAGCTTCACATTACGGGCACTGCGGGTGAAATCCTGCAGGAGCAAGGCGACTCTACCAGGGTCCCCGGGCCTCTGGTAGACCCCCTCTTTGCATAAACCTGGTTGCACAGATCGAAGGATGGGTCAGATTCCTAGTCATACTGTGACTGTCTGATGATTAATACCCTCTAATGTGTAGAATCTGCAACAGCAAATGACAGTAGATAGATTTCTATATGACTACATACAATTACAGGGCAATAACGGACCTTATAGACACTTTGACTTGTGGGATGTAACAACGTTACATAAGCACATTTGAATCTAAATTGCCGGTAGAACAAAATTGTCAGTGCAAGGTATATTAACCTTCTGTATCACTTTATAGTTTCACTCAAAGTTAACTTTAATGCCAGTCCTTCATCGCAATGCACACTACTTATCATGATATACGTCCCCCCTTTTGCATTTATGAGCCATTTCTCAGGCAACAGGCACTATGTAATGTAGATTTGCTGTGGTGTTTATATTTTTGAAGCAATCCTGCAGTAATAGTACACTGAAAAGTTAAGACTACATTTTCTACATTTCTAAAAAAAAAAAAAAGAAAAAAAAAATATGGTGAAAGTAGAGATAGGATAATGTCACAGCATTATGCTAGACAACATTAGAAAGCATGAAATTCTCATCACGACACAGCACACTGGATGAATCAGCTCCTTAAGGGGAAATCATAATAATAGTCCTGCAGAACTTATTTTTTAAAACTTTTTCTCCCCATAAATTTAATGCATCTCACCATACTGAGTGACAAAAGCAATGCAACTGTCGACTATAATAGGGACTCCATTCTTAGTCAGCTGTTGGTCACTGAGGGCCTTGCCATCTGTGTCAGCGGCCATTGTGATGGCAGAGTGCCACAGTGCAAAGTCCGTCTTGTTGAAGCCATGGATGTAAACTGTTCTGTTAAAAAAAATAAAAAAAAAAAAGATGAAAAAAAAAGAAGTCATTATTTATGAAGAACCTCGTAATATAATTTCCTATAACAGTATGGAGTTTCATATTTTAAGAGCTAAAGATGTTCATATATTTGGAAAAGCAGTGGTAACTCATTACATAAACAAACCAACAAGATTAAAGGAATCCAAAAGCGCTTCTACAGAACACACATCTATAAACAACCACCGGTTTCCCCCACGAGGTTTGATCAAAAACACACAAACGAACGGCAATTAACAGAGTAAGCACAAAGTCTTGTTGCATTACTCTAAAAGGGAGCCTGAAACTGTCGGCTTGTGTGAGGGCTGCGATGTGTTACGTGCCATCTCACCTCCTCTCTCTAACTAAAGCAGGCAGCCTGGCGAGGCCTTAATTACCTCGGATGGTTACAGTAGGTAAAGTGCATTCGGACTAACAAGACAAAGGCAGAATCAAAGCTAGCACAACTGCATAATGCATAGAGTTGCAGTATCACAAATACGTTGCCAATTAGCACACCTTTTTTTTTTTTTCATTTTCAAGGAATGACATACCTTCTGCCCTCCACCATCAGCAAGACTTGGATCTTGTCCTCGCCCTCGGTATGTGTGGAGACAGCTGAGGGAAAAGGGCAAGGGGCTTTAGTAAATGCAGGCTCCGAAACATTGGTGTACATTCAAAAGAGCAACACGTTCTGCACTAATGCACTGTAATGTGTAGGGAAGAGTTTAGGTTTGACATTTGCAGTTGTTCAATCTCTGTCAAAAGCATGGACACTTAGACGCTTTCGCCATGAAACCTGGAAGTTGACGCATTCATTACCTGTCACTGAAAGGTCTCCCTTCTCCTAAGTATTCATTTATGTTTTAGGGCAATCATGGCAAATAATACATTGCACAATATGTCTAGACATAGCTGACTATTTTTTCTCAAATGTGCAGACATACAACAGAAAGAAAAGTGAGCGACCAGTACAGGAGTGGAAAATGCCAAATGCATCCAATTCAAGTTAATAGCGTTTTCTTGTTGTAATGGGAAACACGAATTCACTTTTTGTGTCAGTGACTTACTAAAGGTAGTTTAAACAAGAGACGGAAGCAGGGCATAAACACTAGTGCCATTAGTCATTAAGCTTTACATAAAGTTGTTTTAAATACCATTACCAAATAAGACTGCACCAAGGGGAGTATTTAACACAGTGTAAAAAAAAAAAGAAAAAGAAATCTATTCAGTCAATCTTTTAAAACTGAAGTAACAGTGCAAGGATACAGAAAAACTGGGCTATGGGACTCGAAAGCTCAGCCATAATCTCTTCTGTGGGTTCAAACAGCTGCTTGGATCATGGCAACAAACACACACGCACGCACACACACACACACACACACACACACACACACACACACACATACAGAAGAAAAAAGTACAAAAAGAGATATGAGGCTCTGCAGTTGAGTCACAAATCTCCTTGAAACGACATCTGGCACTTTCATCATACTCAAGTTCCCACTGGTTGTGCTCAAATAATGGATGTAAAACCTCAATAAACAGTTGATTTCTAAAGATTGTTATCTCACTAAACAACTACGTGAACAGAACGTAATTGTCAAGTAATGCATGATTTTGTCGGAGTGGTTCGACATTTTTGGAAATAAGTTTATTTGCTTTCTTGCCACGAGTGAGGTGAGAAGTTTAGACTCGAGGCCAGCTGTCTCCGCCCAGTTTACTGTCTTTATGCTAAGCTAAGCTAACCGGGCCAATGGCGGTGGCTTCATATTTACGCCGCGTCCTGTGATTTTCGCCCTCCACTTTTAAAAAACATTTAGCATTCGAATGACAGAAAAACAAAACTTTTCAATTTCTTCTACCAATCACCACAATCTCTGCAACCGCTTCTTTAGTAAACACATGTATCGATAATCTCCACTGACAGAAAAATTTATTTGATTGTTGTCTCAAAAGAGGACACAAGGACTGGTAAAAAGAAAAAACATTACGTAATAGTGTTATTTTGGCCTTCAAATCATTTTTATAGGCCTTTGTATGTTGAGCTAAACAGCAAAAACAATTAATTCCCAGAAGTCTGACTTAACAAACAATTTGCTTTTCATTTTCGCTGGCAGATTTTCAAGGGCACAGTATTTCATACTGATATAAACAACAAGAGAAGAAAGCAGAGAACTTCAGAGATTGATATTGACATGAGAGAGGTTTATTAACAGTGTTATCAGGTAAATGCAAAACACTTGTCATTGTTGTTTGAACAAACACACAGCAATCCTCTTTTATCCATCTTACAGCTCAGTGGGAATTTTTTTATTACTTAATATGTTTGTGTGATAAGGAACTAAGTCTGCAGCCTTGTTCTCTCCATAATTTGCACTGGCTGTCCTGTAAGACGTTTTCATTATGTTTTTCCCTTCTGAAAATCAAGGGGATTCAGGTTGCTGGTGCATATTTTTCAGTGCAAGCGTTAAAGTTTTGATTTTTAGTTTTTTTGGACGGGTATTACCTCTGCAGACCTGGGTTCAGTTACCACCTTTGGTCTCCAATAAACCGTGATCATGGGTGGGAAGCAGTTGAGGGATCCAATGTTTTTTGTTTTTGTTTTTGGTGTGATGGCATCTTTTTGTGATTGGGAAGGGGGATGTAAAGATGCTGTGGCACTGTATAAAAACGAATGCTCAACCAATACTGAATCTTTGAGGCCAATACTGATATTTAAAATAAACCGGCTGATCTTTTTTTAACATAAATGTAAGTATAAGCATTTATTGATAGGGGTCTCTTACATTTTGTTATTTAAAAATCATAACTGACGTACAGTATATGATGGACATGACATTTTACTATATTTTTTTTTATTGCTGGACAATAATGAAAATTAACTTTCAAATGTCTGTCCATTTCTTGGTACTTATCAGCTGACATATACAGTATACTGATACAGATGTATCTGTTATAAACCCATGTCAGCCAGCTGCTTTATGCAAACTCTTATATACCATATAGAGTATACTACTCCATATGCACTATAACGTTCTACAGTGTCGCTGTCCTGTGAAAACCATGGATCTCTAGAATGTAAGCTTTTCATGTGCTAAGAAAAACAATCGCTTTTTCATCTTTCAGCTAATCCACTGGTTTTACAATGGTTTATTTAGTTTACAGCCCACATAGGAACACTTAATCCCTCATTTTATCTGGAAAAATTCAAAATCACAGAAATTCGGAAATACATGCTTCTCACTGTTGTCTCCCAGGGGAACAGCTAAAAAAACTGAGGCTACTTGAAAGGAGATGAACACTCAGCAGGGTTATTGTTTGCAAAATGCAAATGCATATAGGATACTATTTGAAGTGAAAGTTCAGCTGTTTGAATGTCAGTCATAACATATCTTAGCAACAGTGGATTGGTTTGATTAACTTTAATGGACTCAGAGTGAGTATTGTGCCGCTGTAGGCTATCGCAAAAAGTGGGAAAATGTTCATCAGAGCAGGACTGGTCTTCTTGCCCGTTCTGAACATGTTAGCTGTGATATCTGAGCTAATAATCATAAAAAGAATTTTTTACTTTAAAAATGAACCTCAGTGTGGACACAGTGAAATTTGACTGCTAAATATGCTGGACTTCAGTCTTGTGCTGATGCCTATCTTAATTTTCAGATGATTGAGCAGAGCAATGGGATTAACATTTTTTTTTTATCTATTTAGCCACTGCCTTAAGAGAAATCCACTGAGAAAATTGCACTAAATGAGATCAAAGTTAATGTGCTTATCTTGTTTGAAAACCTTTCATTTCAGAAAGTTCTGGGTGGGAAGGCTGATTTGTGCACTGTGACAGGTTAATGATTATCCAACTGTATCTGTCATTTTCCACTCATTTTACTTTGGTTCTAGTTATTTGTGCGGGAGACATCTTGACACACGACATCACAAAAAGATCAATCCTCTCTCAAGTACACAGCTAAGCCCCCGGGAAGCCATTCTGAGAGGTAGTGCACTCTCATTCTTTGGAGATAGGATTCCTTTTTTTTTGGTTTGTTTTTTATTCATTTATTTATTTATATAGCACTTTCCAAAAACAAAGGTACAAAGTGCTTCGTAGTGCAGAGAGATTAATATGGAACAATTGACACAGATCAATAACACATTTTGAACAATTAGCTTAAGGCAGTAAAAATTGCGTTAATCATAGGGTTGACACAAACAGAGAATAAATGACAGACATGGCAATTAAGGATAAAATGAATAAAAGCCAAAGATTAGAGCTTCCACTTTACCTCCAGTAAGAAAACCCTTTGGCGGGATTTGAGAAAAGATTTTAAAATGATCACAACTCTTGCAGCCTGAGGCCAAAAAAAGCAGGAACAGACTGCATCACACTTACAATGAACTCCTGATGCAGTATGAAGTGCTGCATGTAGGAAACGTGTAGTGATTTTAATTGAAAAGTATATTCATTTAATCCCTCGGTGCTACACAGGGCCCACCTTTCATGTGGTGGTGTCACTGTTAGAGAAAATAACAGTTAATCCCGTGTCACAGACTGCGATTCCTAAAGGAATCCTTTCAGTGCTCCAGAACCTACCATCCCCCGACAAAACACAGTCCCTTCTGGCGCTAACGGCTCCCTGGCTGTGACAAATACGGTTTGAGAAAGCCGGGAATAAAAATGAGCACCGCTGCAGTTCTTTATCCTGCCCGAGGTGAGTAGATGGGGCAGCACATTGCGCAATTTGATCCGCGTGGAGCTGTAAATAGATTAAAAAGATCCAATGATTCTCCCTCCTTCTGTTCGCACTTTTCACTGGCGCAATCGATTGAAATGTTACCAAAATCTTTATTATCTGTCAAAGTATGTGTGAACTTTTGAGCCTTCCATCCCTTCTGGCAGCTTCCCCCGACTAACTGTCCTTTAAATAACTCCCATTTGTCAGCCATGTGAAGATACTTACATAAATTCATGTTAGTGGGCAGTGGAAAACGGTGCAACCACGACACCTGCGCACTGTGAATATTCAATACGCTATGCTGAAAGCAACGTAGATCACATTACTCTCTCTGAAGATCATGTTTTCACACCAGATTTTGTGAGAGCAGCAAAGTGAAATCTGAATCCTATTTTGACTGATGCATTACGTAATATTGACCACTGCTGACTTCATGTGAATAGATCCTCTCACACACAGGCCTGCGGCACCTTTTCAATCTCCTCCAAGCCCTCTGCAAGCGTGATGTTTATAATGGAAGACTAAGCCAGCCAATTAGCCATCCAACAGAAATGTGTAATGGTGTGAGAAGCTGAGATGTCTTCAGACACCAGCCGCTTGCGTGCATCCTCCGACATCATTAAGCAGTTACAAATGCAAGTAGCAGCAAAGTGTTATGGATTGGTGGCTTTTTTGGAAATTGCAGAGTATAGGAAAATAATGGGAGTGAATTTTAAAAAGCCAGAAATTACAGCAAGTTGAGTGCCACCGATACTATCAACCATAAACAGATATGGTCACTTTGTGCTGGAGGATTTTATAAGTCTGATTTATTGCCAATTAAAAGCTTAGCTGAGGCTATTGAAGGAAGGACAGCTTGCTCATGTAAACTGTGGCAATTTGGGACAGAGCAAAAGTAAAAGTGTATTAACCAAAAATTCATTAAATGGAGTGTAAAATTTTTCTTTTACGCATACATAATAGAAAAGGTCAGTATCTGAAGTAAAAAAAAAAAAACTCATCTCAATGGATCTGACACGAAGAATAGATTTTTGCTCACAGAGGCAAAGGCACTCTCTTGTATCTAACATTTTTTTCTGAGCATTACATTTGAAAAAAAATGGGGATCATGCTACATATATTCAAGGACGAGGCATTTATGGCTTCACAACAGCAAATGCTCTCATTGAGTGTTGCATTATAGGGGTTTTTGGTTTTGGGAGTTTTGCTTTTTGAGTTTCTTTGTGTCAAAAACACGACTTTGATAGTGAAGTGTTTATGTTTAAAGGTTTGTCTTATGTCTGGACCAATACAGTTGAACATTAGCTTAACAACCGAGACTACAAATACTTGCTACGGCGCTGAGTTCTCATCACGAAGAGATAGTGAGAAACAGAGAAATAATCATGCAAATAAGCAACATTCTTACTGAGCTCCTGTAGTTGTTTGAGTTGAAGGACTTCCTGCTCGCCCTCCTCTTCTCCTGAGCCGAAGTGCAGAGCAGAGCCTTCCAGCATAAACCAGCCCAACCTCCAGTGGTACAGGTCATGCCCCTCTTTGTAGTGCAGTCTGCCAATCAGCTCACTGTCTTTCTGCACCAGTCCCTCGACTTTGGACGGGACGAAGCACTGCAAGTCGGACACAGACGGTACACAGAACGGAGCGAGAACAGGCTTAGGAATTAACAACTTTCACAATTAACTGTGTGAAACTTTTCACTGCGTCACCTCAGGACAACACAAAAACACGACAGGTGCAGCTTTTATTCTTGAAGGGATAAACCTTTGCACGGGTTCTGGTCCTTGGCTGAATTTTATTTTGCAAGTACAGATCCATCTCTCCTGCTCGGCTCTGTCTGGCCATTGTGCTGTGATTCAAAATGAAATATGGAGGTGTAGAAGGGCCGATGGTACAGAAGGAGAGACATATGGACTGATGCAGCTATACCTCCCACTATCTATGACTGTGTTGCCTGGGATTAAAGAGATAAAAAAAAAAGGGAGTTGTGGACATATTTATGTAGGGTGTTATTACAAGATCCTGTCAGCATGTGGGGGAAGAGATAGCAAGACCACTTGTCTTATAGAAAAAAAGCACAGGCAGAAAGGGACTCGCTGAGGACAATGTGTGCATGTGTGTGTGTTGCAAAGTAACTCAGCGAATAAAAAAGTGTGAGGTGGATGTGCTGTAGCTCTGCAACATGTTCACACAGTTTCTTCTTTGTAACTTTAAGTGAAAAAGAAATTTATAAAAAGAAACAATGGTAATAAGTGTGCTTGTGTGTGCTTGTGCGTGCGTGCGCGCCATATGCACAACGTGCTACCTTTGTCAGTGCCTGGATCCAGTCATGCTGCGTTTCCTGTGTTTCAGCTCCGACAACCAGCGCTCGCTCGGTCCGCAGGTACAGCTCCACGGTAAACACAGCCCTGCCACAGACGCACAGCTCACTATTAGATATCTGGAATGGAAAATGTCCTCACACCCACAAGCAGGAAGCAGGCAAAGAAACATCCAAAACTATGTAGGCTACATGTGCACACACAGAATGAAATAAGGGAGTTTATACTTCAATATGCCAGAGCAAGCCTAGTTTTGCTGGACTGAGAATCGAAAATAATAATAATAATAATTATATAATATTATATAATAATTTGTAACCATGAATATATTAACTATATATAGGATTATTTATTTATTTTATTTAACTTTTATTATTCCAGTCTAGTTTCACTAAGCAATGATCACACTTGCATGATTACATGCATTTACACATTTACACCTTCCCAGTACATTCACAGTCTAATCATTTGGCAGCTCAGCTCATCTGAAGCCGCTGGAATCACAGTTGTGGCACTGACGGAGGGGCAAGTTCTTCTCTCTCACTTTTCCCACCAAGTTTTATCCCGTTATGTTACAGCTTTTCTTTCTGTGCGTTGGGACATTAGCAAAACGTGTCCAAGCGTCTCAGTAGGTCATGACAGAGAGCGAGCATGCTGGGGAAACTAGCTCACCTAAATATACTGCAGCTGTTTTAACATTATCAATTACACCTGTGCCTTTCCTGCCGTGGCAGGCCGAAACGTCTGCTGTGAAATGGAGATCAGCTGCGCGTAGTCACGTGGTTTCAAAGGGATTAAACCAAATAACGAAGATTTGTTGGCGAGCCTTGTCTATATGCTGACCTTTAAGAGTTAAGGCTGGATTATCATGTCATATGTTTTATATATGTCATGGTTTATTCACTAAGTCTGTTGCCATTTCACTTTGTTGCATTTTGCTTTTATCAATACACCAACTTTTCCACCTCAGCCAAGTGTAAAAAACTAAAAAACTACACTCAGGGTTTTTTTTTTTAATTTTTTTTAATTTATTTATTTTTTATGCACAACTTGACAATGTGCATTAAAACCGATGGCTGGAAACTCACCTATGGAGAGGGCGGAGAGGCGATACAGTTTAAATATTGTGCACAATTTCAGACTCAGTCTCACAGAGAAGACAGTGTCACACTTGGTTCACATTAAAAGTGCCACTAATAGTTGTGTAACAACTAAAAGACAGAGCTAAAGAGAGAAGTGCAAAGTGGGTGTGTATGTCTGATTGTCAGTTTCAGAAAGTTACAGACATCACTAATCTGACATGGTGTAGTATGAGTCTGTTTTAAATAATACTATTTTAATACACGCTGTGGCTAAGGTGCAGTCAGTTCAGCCACAACAGGCATCTCATGGATAAAAACAAATTTTAATGGTTTTCCAGATAACAATGACTTTCTGATAAATTTTGCATGAATTTCAACTCAAAACCTCACAGCTGATTTTATTTATCCTCACACTTTCATATAGAGCTCCCCAAAGGTAAGAGACATTATTTTTCATTATCAAGTCTGCACAGAAAAGAACATCTGTCTAGACTTCAGGATATCCATATATAGTTTGAAGTTTGTTTTTTTGAAAACTTTTTCCATAAGCAAAGACTTCAGATGTTAAATAAAGCGACAAAGTCAAGCTTCTTTTTCTTTTTTTTTTCTGGAATCATTAGTATAAAGTAGATTTTCCAATGTTTTGTAAAGACAGTAACTTTGTTTATCAATACACAGTGTCTTTGCTCATGTTATAATGTAATGTCGTTCACATATACAGACTTTGCCTTAAAAGTGTCATGCATGCAAATTTCAACAACGTGTATGAGTCAGTCAGTGAGGGACAGTCTCCCTGCTGGGTTTCTATTTGAACAGAAAATTGTATGCGTGCACGGTATGAGGCTATACACACACCAAACGCATAATCCTTCAAAAAGAAAAGGATCACGCATTCACTCCCACACTCATTCGTCTGCACACACAAGACACACATTTGCAGGCAAAACCCTTGCTGTCGGAAGCAAAAAGGCAGCTATTAATCTTTGTTGGTCTTTCTCCTCCTGTCATCTCTGCCTCCGCCCTCTCTCTGTGTCTCTCTCTCTCTCTCTCTCTCTCTCTCTCTCTCTCAGTGAAGGCACAGAGGTCAGAGTATCACTATCTTAATGGTACGAACACAGTGCCAAGCTGTAGCTACGTTTCCATTGGTACGCTGCAGCGACGGAGGCTCTAAATGCTACAGCGATGGGTGTTTAAGGTGGCGTGTCACGAGGGGTCACGGCAGCGCTGAGTCGCTCTCTTCTCACGCGTGTCAGGGGAACAGGCGAGACACGGGTGTTTGTGTGCCCTCACGTGACCCCGCCTCCCTCCTCCTCCCCGCCGGCAGGTGTGCAGGCGCTTGTTAGAAGGGGTCCCGGAGGGAGAGAGCGAGGGAGGCTGTGGCGGAAGGGTAAGGCAATGTGCTGGTATCATAAAGAAAGGACAGGAGGAGAAGACAGAGGGAAAGAGAGGATGAACGCTGCATTATGACTGATCAGTGATCAGGTTTCTCCCCTACCTGCTCCTGTAATTCTGAACCAAACTGGTATATTTTAGTTGTCTTAGTGATGAATATGATGCTAGTGCTTTGTTTTTTTGGGTCAGAGCACTCGTGCTCATGCTGCAGTGAGATAACAGGCTCTGGAGTGAGGAAGCACATCGGCTTTTCTTGTGTGAGTATGTGTTGAATTCCAAGTCTAGATAACTTTATTAATCCCAGAAGAGAAAACTTTTTTTTTTTTTAAACAGAACATGGATAAAATTTAATACATTTTTCATGGTCATCCTGTCCAAAGTATGAATGTTTGACAGAAAACCAGTGGGGATGATATGCTTGAGAAATACATAATATGAATTTTTTCAATACTTCTCGGCAGTATATATGGCAATAAATCTTAATGATACCATTCATTAAAACAGTGATACCTAGACCTGGATAAGCAGCAGAAAGAGGGATTTTATCTATAAGCTATTGAGCTTTTGATAAAAATCAAAACTTGCCCTTTATGAGACGATGAGTTTCCTTGCTACTGTAGGTCGCAGTCGAGACAGTGTTTGCTACAGGTGTGATGGTGCTGACTGAAACGCCACAATATAGGATTAAACCCACCGTTGCAACAATCACATTTTCAGTTTATAGGTGTGTAATGTCCCTGGACAGACCACAATCAGACAGAAAAACATTTCATAATTAAGATAAGGCAGGTACGAGAACACATTTAAGACTTTTGTAAATGAGATCAAAAACTTTTAAAACATTTACAGGCCTTTGTGCAGGAAACTGAATTTGGTATAGATGAGAATACTTTCTTACTGCTGTGTTGCGGTTCTGGAAATCTGTATTTTTACTTTTGCAACACTCTATTATCACTAACTTACTTTACATTATTGGAGTTATTGGGGAAAAAAAGAACCAAACAACCAGTACAAGTCATTTGCAACAAAACAAAACCAGTCTTTCCCATGTACTCTCTGTAACTCACACCTACATTGTTGGCATGTGCAAAACACAGCGTCAGGGGATTTGATATTGGCTGGGAGATAGGCAAAGAGGTTCATCATTATTATTATAATGTGCTTATCTCAGTGTGCTGGAAAAACACTTTTTGTTGTCGACTAAAATTTAACAGAGCTTACAGACACTCTTCCTTGTGCAGGAGTCTTTTCCATGAGATTCACCTGTGGTTTCAACATGCACAGAGTTACCTATAGTGTTTCTGCAACCTTTTATTTTCTCCGTAGGGCTTTTGTGTGCTCAGAGAAAAGTCTTAATTCCCAAGCCCTTATATATTTATCTATATACATAACCTGTCTCAGTGGCAAAGCTGGCAGCTAAAAAGTCTTTAAAAACGCCGATATTTTCGTTAGTGTGTGTGAGAGAAGGAGACGGTGAGAAAGGGAGCGAAACGGTGCAAAAAGCAGCCAAAAAACGACAAAAAAAGGAAAAACAGGAAAAGAGCAGACAGGTTTGTTACCAAGGGTTTTTTTTGTTGAATTTGAAGGTCAGAATCGACTGAGAAATATTCTTGTCGAAACAGGAAAATGAGTCAAAAAAAAAAAAAAAGTCCCTGGAAAACCTCAACTTATCACCAGCCAACATACTGGCTTCGCATTAATTCCTTAGGAGAGGGTTTGTAATATTCATACAACTTTAGCAAACGTATGTGTCGGGGCAACGCTATAATTCACGGTGTCCTCTGCCACTGTGAAATTACCCAAATGCTGTGTTTAATGGAAACGACACCTACGGCCTCCTGTAGAGCGCCGATAGGTTGCTGGTGGGAGTGTGTCATCTGCATACGTTAATATTCATGAGCAGCAGACAGTCAAAAGGTGAGGCGTCCCCGCTCTTTTGGCGGCGCAGGCACGCTGGGAACGCGGGAGTGAGAGGGAGAGAGGCAGAGTTTAATCCAGCGAAACGCGCTGGCATTATGAGTGTTAGCGACAGAGAAGTAATAGCCACTCTGGAGGTGATGCCGTGACCTGTAACTGGGATGTATGCGCTAAGCTAAAAATGGTACGTGTCACTGTCGGTTTGTAGAGATAGAGCATGCACAATATTATCACCATAACCTGTTGCGACTGTGTATGTGTCCACTTCATTATAAAGGTCATAGTTTTATCTGGCCAGATGTGTTCCTAATAGCTGTATAAATAACATTTACAAATAAAAGCATTGTTCCCTCTTCATAACATCTGCTACTGTCATTAAGGACCTGGCTTCTGCTTTAATCATAAGCCATTATCAGACTCTTCGCCGAGGGACTGGCGCGCACACACAGGAACACACATACAGGACAGATCCAGTAGGAGCGGGTAAACAGGAAAGGATTGAGACGTCTGCTTCTTCTTTGTGTGTTTGTAACGCTTCCAGAAGAAATAAAGAAAAGTTTGTCGCCGGAACAACTTTTTAACTGAATCATAGTCTGAGAGAAGAAGTGAGGGAAGCGGTGCAGTAGGTGGAAAGGTACAGTGAATGGAGGGAGGGCAGTTAAAGACGCAACATTCGCCCGCATCTCCGCCTAAGTAAACAGGAAATATAGCACTCATAAAGCCTTGATAGGTTCTGTTAAAGTGAATAATGCCCAAGTTAAGACTATGCTAATGAGACATATGACAAGGAGGAGAAAAAATGCAGAGGCCTGGGTTTACATGTGTGTGTTTATGTCCTTAAACCAGGCCCTGTAATATATGAATTACATGTGCAGTACATTGTAATTTAGCCAAATAAAAGAAAATAAATCATTTTAAAAGGGGTTTTGGGTGTGTACGACATGTGTGTCCTTAAAGCAGGTTGAGCAATCACATAAATTATGATTTAGTGGAGAAGATGCAAATTAAGCATTTCAAATGTGTGTATGTGTGTGGGTGTGTGTGTATGAGAGCAGATTTTAATGGTGAGTGTAAATGAGTGCCCCATAACCTGGCTGAACAGCTGTAAAGTTTGATTTATGTGTAAATTACCATTTAATACAGTGGATTTAGATTAATATTAAATGTTAGATATTAATATTCATGCTCTAACAGCCATGGTAAGTCTGATTTTGGTGATTTAACTTCAATTTTGAAATTCTATCTTAAACCATTTGATACTTCAAAGTTTAGGAGAAGAAAATAAGTATACATAAAGCTACAAAAACTTTTTCTAACCTTGCTGCGAAAGTTTATGGTATATATATGGTATATGGTAGATAGCATGTAAGTGTGTTCATACAATACGTGTTTGTTCATACCCAGCTCCAGTCATTGTCTCCGTGTTGCTGATGGCCAGGCTAACCACCGCGGTGACATCCACCCTGCCGATGGCCGACGGGCTTCTCTCGTTCTCATAGTAACTCAGGAAGCCACCCTCCAGCGTGCACCAACGACGTGTCATGTCTGAAATACACACATAATCAGCCATATTTCCCATTAGAAATATACTTACATACATACATACGTACATACATTCATACAAGGACAAAGACAGACCAGAAATACTTATTTCAAGTTTTACTTGGATGAACTACTTGGATAAACTTATTGGTTATTGGTAGATGACGGGAGGGAAAGTCAGACACTTTATATGCCCATCCATCCACCTCAGTCATTCAACAAATTTTTGTGGTGGCGTTCAAGGGTCATGCAAGTTTTTGCTTAGCTACTGAACTGACTCACAGCTCGTTTTAAGTTGACTGAGTAAAGTCTCGACACAAGATTTAGCATATTAATTAAGAGGTGCTGGTGGGTGGATGTTGGTACCTTTGGACAGAGCCAAAATTGCTGTTTCCTATTCCTTTAACATTGTCATTAAGCACATGTTGGCAAGCTGATGATAGGATTTAGCTTTAAGTACAGCCTCACACAAACACCAGAGAGCCTGACTCATTCTTGTTCTTTTGTAATGCAACCAGCGAAATGTTATGCTGTGTCATGATGATATGCTGAGTGACAGCAGCTTAAAAACAGAGAAGAATAATAAAGACAGAAAATTGACAGCAATATCTATCTAAAGTTGGCTAACATTAGCCACCAAAGGCTACTAGTCATACCAGTAAGGCTGTAGCAGCAAAAACCCACAGTGTATTATTGAAATGAGCAAAAGTGTGTTTTACTGCTCTTAACTTTTCTTTTTTTTTTTTTTAAGAGGAGGAGGAGTGTGTTATTTCCTCTTTCAAAAATTACATAACACTACTTTAAGTGCCACATGGTTAGGATTCAATACCAAGATAGACAGTCTCTGTTAAATGTCATTTCGTGTGTACATTTTGAAACTTCATCTGATGAAGCACCCTCCAACATGTCTGGTGCCATTATTGGATTACTACTGTAGAATCATACATTTGCATACTGATAAAATTGAACAAACTGGCTATTGTTTGTGGAGTCAGAAAAAGAAATTAATTAGTGCCTGCAATGTTAGTGATTGGTCTGTGAACAATTAGCACCACTCCAACCCCATTTAACACAGCTAATGACTCTCTACAAGCTAAGGCAGCACTACCAAGAAATCGTTTAAAAGTTCGGAGACAAAACGCTGTGCATACAGTTTTCACACATGGATGGATGTATGAAGACGCTGCATTGTCAGAAGCCTCAACCTTTCTTCTTCTTTAGGGTACACTTGACTCAAAAACCAAGTCTTTTATATGTATATCCAAACCAGGTGGATGTAAGGCTACCACCGAGCTAACATCTCTCCGCAATCAACATCCAAGATACAACGCCAAAAGGAAAAACATCCGCACAATCAGATGACCATGCCTCATCTCTCTGTCCATTTGAGAACAACTGAGTCAAGCAAACGGCATGTGCAGGCAGACACAGAGAATTAAAAGAGTTAAGAGACTCCAAGTACTGAGCAGATTTCAATCAACAAACATGATCTCAGTGGAAAAGCTGGAAAACACACAACATTGTCTTTCATGACTGTCTGACTGTGCAATTTACATAGCCAATGAGCATGAAGTTCATGAAAACATACCTAATTTTGGATTTTCAAAGTCACCGTGCCATCTGCTTTTTTGTTCCGCAACAAACACTCACACGCATACACAGACACACACACTCAGACACACACTCACACAAACAGCACCCCCACCCTCCCCCCACCCCCTGTCGCTTGCGACTCCAAAGTTTCCACTGTATTCATCTCATGAATATGCTAATTGTGCATTCCTCTGCCAACTGTGTGATGTTTCTGAAGGAACAGATATAGTTCCAATAAAAAAAGGAAGTGTCTACAACTGGCTGTTAAAAGAAAAAAAGATGTGATAAGCATAGGAAAGGAGGATGTCAGTTTCACTCTATTCACCCTTGAGCTGCCTGTCTGTATGGCTCTTTCTGACTTTTTCTTTGTCTTTATCGTCTGGAGAAAAAAAAACAAAAAAAAAAAACAATTTGGACATGATTCTGCAAACAGCTTTAAAACTGCAAAATGACTAATATCTAGTAGCTTACTGTGGCATTTAAAAAAATAATATTCTTTTGACCCCACTTCCCTTCAAGAAAAGAATTATTCCAGCAGCTGAAGAATCATCATCTCTATCTGAAATGAACCATGCATGTAGCAGGTTTGTATGTGTGCATGTTTGCGTCTGTGTGTGTGTGTGTGTGTGTGTGTGTGTGTGTGTGTGTATGGGAGAGGGAGAGAGACTGACTCTGGTATTTAAAGTCATTACCAATCCAATCTATCTGACAGGACACTGTTGTCTAGGTGACAGAAAAGATCGTAATGCACTTCGCTTCCGTTGCAAATGTGTCCCTGGATTGCTAAGGTTTTGCACAAAATGTCATGTCCATCATTTCCCACCGGAGGATAGTTAAGTTTTTGTTTTCTCCCATATTTTCCAGTAATTTTGCCTTCCTCCCCAAGGTCCGACCTCCAGTAGGGTAATATCTGAACAGTGTCATTTGCACTGACATCTGAAACGCTCACACAATCATCTTCTTAAGAGGCACACTTAATTTCCGCACTGAAGTCAATTGCTATCATAAGCTGCTAGAAAGCTGTAATGCCACTGATTATCAAGACGTTTTGCTTTATGGTTCCTGTGGACGCAGAGGTTATTAGGGAGTTCAGCTTATGTATGAACTGATGTAATGGCAAATAAAAACAGTATTGTCTGGGGCAATGGATCCCAATCAGAGTCTGCAAGATAAACGAAAAAATAAATAAATAAAATAAAACATAATCTCCCACGCATACCTGTGTTGTTTTATATGTGGTCCTTTAATCTTTGCTTTTTTTAAGCCGACCTAAAGGCATCACTCTACAGAGGGAAATCGGTCCAGAAGGAAATATCTCTATCGTTTGGATTGTGAGGAAATTTTACAGACATTCATGCCCCCCCCCCAGAGGAAAAAGCCTACTGACTTTTCCCCTACCACCACCATGAGGTCGACACTTTTGGTTTCAAGTGAAATGTCTTGACAGTTATTGGATGTATTGCTTTTCATGTTCCCCAGGGGATGACTCCTAATGACTCTGACCACAGCGAAATATCTCGACAACCATTGGATGGATCGCTATTGAATTTGGCAAGGACATTCATAGTGTTTGTGAACTTTCGTGATCCCCTGACTTTTCATCTTCCGGCACCATCATCAAGACAAAATTTCGATTGGTCAAATACTTTCATCTATTTTTCTAACAGTTTGGTTTTTCTTTACAAAGAGCATTACAACCTCAGAGAGCCTCCTGAGCCTGGCTGCAGTTATTTTCTTTTCTTTTCAGGCAAAAATGTCAAACATCCTGTAGTACCAGCTTCTCCAATTTGAGGAGTTGCTGCATTTTCTGTATATATGTGATCATAAAATGAAAATGGTCGTATTTTCAACTGTTGGTCGGACAAAACAAGGACTTCTTAGGAAAAAAAACAGTTGAAGTTAATTAAAGACCTTACACAAAGTTTAGTTTTCTTAGGAATTACTGGATAATTTCTGACTTCTTTAAGCTTTTGAAAATGAAAAAAGGAGGAAAATATCTTTTCTGGTTGACGAGGAGTCCCACGTCCTGTAGTTTTCCGGGTTCTTGAGCCATAAATGTTGGGAACCATTTAGAGCAGGTTTTTATAGGAATTTTAATGAACTACTGAATAACTGTATCTCTTTTTTCTATATCTAAAAATTATCAACATATCAAAGATTATAAAAAAAAGACAGGGGTCACAGGAGACTTTCATTTTGAGTGGTCACTAGTCAAAACAGTTGGGAAGTGCTGGTCAAGGGCATGTAGAGTCCCAAAGAGTGTAGACCTCGAAATATGTATATGAGAGGACTCATATGTCCTAATACATCAAAAATATTAATAGATCTCATTTTGATGTCGGGATATGTGGCATCAGGATCATGTCTCCTTGAACGAACAGCATCTGACAGAATCTTTCATCTACACTACAGAAAAGGGGAAAAAAATTTTTTAATTTGCTCTCACCTCCAAGGACAAAGACCCAAAAAATCCCTCTGTGAATCCAGGAAGCAAATTGCTGCGGGATCCTGGGTCCAGACAGCATGGACACATGAATGGGCTCACTACTCGGCCAACCAGTTTCTGAAAAATTATCCTAATAAAGGCCAGCACACCCACAGGTACAGATGTCCACATAAGGCCTTAGCATGCCAAGGAAAAGGAAGGTTGAGAAGGAGAGGGGATTTAACAGGGGCCAAAAGGTGAGCAAATGTTTGACAAATGTAATTTCAGATACAGTTATCTCCTTTGGGTTTGAATTGTGAATGAATATGAGGGATTTGGTAGATTAAGGAGAGAAGCCAGAGACAGAAGAAGACAGAAGAAGCGACGCTGAGGGGAATTAGACATTTTTCATGGAGGCCTCTAAGGAGAAGAATATCTCAGACCCTTCAAAAAGCTGTATGACCATAGATAGAACCAGGAGCATTGGTGTGGCTGCCATTTCAGTATCAAAAGGACTATGGTGTAAATGTAGAATTGCTGCATTGAGTTTTACTGATGATTGTAACTATTATCCAGTTTTGTTGGAATCTGTGGCGCAAGTTGCTTCCGAAAACAGCAGTGAATGTCTCTGGATCCCTTCAAGACATTCCACCAGGAAACTGGCTTTATCAAAAACGTGCACATCACCGCACCACAAGCATCCTCCTTCCTTCTTTGTTTGTGGTTAAATATTTCCTTACTGGGTGGGATACCACTTGCTTCTACACAAGCACCAGTGCAATGGGGGGAACAATAGTGCTTGATTTACAATCAAGCAGCTGCGTCCATTGCCAGCTGTTCCACACACACACAGTATCGGCCCCGTGGCCCAGCCGTTCTCCACGGGGGTCCACAACCAGCCGCCAGAGACAACGCTAGCGGAAGCCAACCGTGGTACATGCCTCCACCAGCTAAATTGGGCCAATTAGCTTGTACGCCAAGAGTGCTCCCTGCTTAGCATTTTCCAGAGGAAAAGAGGCCTACAAATCTACAATGTGGAATCTATGTCTCTCTTTGTCTGCTTTTTTTTTTCTCATTCCCTCTCTCATTTCAGCAATTTGTACAATAAGCTAAATGCTCTAAGTATGCGAGATGAACAGGTTGATTAGACTAATCAAGTCATCAATGAGGCAATTAAACTGTCTTATTGTTCATCCACTGAATGGACAAAGTTATAGAAACATATTTACTCAAAAGTTTTGACTCTGCTAACAGCGCTCTTCCCAGATTTACCCAACGTCCCTCTAAACTCTTTATCGACATGGCACAGACACCCATTTCAGTATGCATCGAAACAGCAGGCTGTGGATCTTTCCACTGAATCACCCTCTTCCCTCGCTCACTCTCCCACCTCTCCCCCTTTCCGCCAATCTTCCGCCTATCTCGCCATCAGACTAAAATATCTGTGATGAAGACATCTGCTGGACAGCTTGTCAGGGGGGCTGAAAATGGAAATCGAGAAACTGAAGGGATCTGAACGATCTGTCTGTGCCAGAATTACAGCCCACTTCATTACAGGGAGAAATGGACAGATATGGCATACGATAAAGAAAAAAAAAAACACTATCTACCATGTATTTTTGGCTTTAGCAACAGAGCTGCTCACGCGTTTAGACAAGCAAAGGCGCAGTAATATGAACAAAGACATTCTGAAAAGCATATTAGATTAAGACAAATTGATTAAATAGGCTTTTGTGTACTTCTCATGAAATATAAAACAGAACAGCATAAATGTCACTACTTAGAAAGTCCAATCATTTTACATTCTTTGAGAACTAATTCTCACTATAAACCATAAAGAAGATTTGGTTTATTAACAAAAACTTGACTCCAGCTTTGTAGCTGCAAAGTAATTGAATTGTTCATGTGGGCTCAGATTTGTGTCCTCAATAAAACTGTTAACATAATTCTACTTCTCTCTCTCTCTCTCTCTCTCTCTCTCTCTCTCTCTCTCTCTCTCTCTCCCTCTCTCTCTCTCCCTCTCCCTCTCTCTCCCTCCCTCTCCTCTAGACAACCCCTCCTCCCTCTTCTCCCTCAGCAGCAGTTGTGAGTTACTGTTGCAGGCAAAAAACAGAGTGCCGCTGATGAGGAAAAGACAAAACTAATCAGAAATTAGGGGTGCCATTTCCCTGCTGCCACTCACCATTCCAGACGGGAGCTGCCTACTGTCTCTCTTTTCCTCCCAAAGTCTCTCACAGAAACAACACGGAAACGCACAAAGCAAGTACACACTCTTTAATGTGAGTGTAGCATGAGTCACTACCCTGCCCATTTGTGTGTTGGGAGGGGGGGGCTGGGGGCTTCATTAACGTTGGAATCAATTGTGTAAACCGGATATAGAGCGGAGAACAGAAATACAACAGAACAGCAAATAAAGTGGAGAATAAACCAGTTCAACCTTGATTTAAGCAGAAATAAAACAGCGAGGAATATTGTTTTCCTAAGCCTACTGTAATCTATATTCCCAGCAGCATCTAGAATGAGCACATTCTTGCTAAATGCTATTTTGTTTCATTATAGCGGACCAACACGATGATCCCCCGTGCCACCTCTGTCAAGGCCATTACCAAAATTGCTTGCCAAATTAATTTATGTCATACTCTGAATTTAGTTCCCATCAGTGGAAATACAAAAGCCTATTGGAGTTGTCTCCAGTTAAAAAAAAAAAAAAGCGAAGTTTAAGACGCTGTGCCAGAGTGCTTTTATTAAGCCCTGAGCACAACCTATGAATTATTAAGAACTTGGGTGTATCTATAGACCATCAAACCATTAGCCTGGGAGCGAAAGGCATCCTGGAGTACATTCAAAAATACCTCATCCCTTCGTGCTCACAAAGTCCTGACAGCGCTTCTTCGTGATTGAAGAAGTTGGAACACATTGAGTTTTAAACCCAACCCCTCTGAATTTTTCAACAGCTGCAGCTGCAGTTAAAGCACCATTAAAGCACAAAAGCCAAACTCGCACCGCTCTCCATAATAGATGAAATAACAAGGTATTTATTGGCCGAAATATTACCAGCACTTATCTGAGGGAAGACAACTCTGGAATGGTGTGGTGTCTGTAATGGTACAAAATGTACAACAGTGACTAAAATGGACCCTGGCAAAATGGACACCTGTAGTGTTAGTCCAGGAACTCACTGTACTGTAGGAGGAACAGTACAACAAACCATGCATTGTCATAATGACTGGCTTTTATAAGAACAGCAGTAGTGCTGTTTTTCTGCAATTACTGCAACATGAGGAATCACACTTTAAAGATAAATGCTTATTTAAAGCTGCTCCAATTTCTTTTATATTAACAATGGTTCAAATGACTATGTGTAATGTAAAAGGTGAATCCATAGAGAATTCTCTCCCGAATCTCTACGGAGCGTTTTAGCATCTTTCAGCTCATTATTTTGGTTTTACTGTTGTGGTTCATTCTACTACTACTACTCTCATCAACATCGTTTCCAGATGCAGGCAGCTGTTTCCAGCAAAAAAAGCAGAGAAACGCATTGCCTACTGCTTGTCCAGCACTAAACAGCAAACAAATTTAGTAGGAAGTTTAGCATTTAGCAGTAAGTCAACTACTAGGTGATGATGTGTTTGTTTTGTGTTTACAGTTTATTCCTGCTACCCCCGGTTGGCCAAAAGATAATGAATGCAGCTTTAAAAACAAGTCAGACGGGGCAAGAAACACAAACGTAAGCCGAGGTTTATGGAAGAAACAACAAAGGTGAACAGTGCAATTTGTGAGGGATTTATTAGCTGCATTTCAGATACACTAACTTTTAGGTTTACCTCCACATTGAGTTGTTGGTTCAGATAAATGGTCTTATTTTAAACACGATTGATCGTCTTACCGCTGGACCCATCAGACTTCATTGTAGTCACCATGTTCCCCAGAACTCAGCAATTACTTTGGTGAGTAGAAAAAATGATTAAAAATAGACATTATGACTAGAAACTATGAAATTAAGACCCAAGTTGAAAGATATTAGAATTATCCTTTAACTAATGAAATTAAAATTGATTCCATTTGTACAGATAATGAGAATTTCAACAGAAATTCATATAAATCTTCCCCAATCTCCTTTAAGGGGCAATTTCCCAGACCTCAGTCCTGTTCATTAGCAAGCATGTACAACCACCAATGAGAGCAGAGCATGTGTGGGGTGATGGAAATGGAGATGGATGTCTTGCCCAAGATTCAGCTCATTCAAGTGGCAGGTAGCTACAAGCTGTCACCCCCACACGCACACCTCCCATTCCTCCTCCATTCCTCCCCATCCTCCAGCCCACTCCTCCACCTTCCCAATAACCCCATTCCCCAGGGGAAGCATCCAAAGCCGACTCCATCTCCTAATTACCCATGGGCCCCTGAAACGCTCCAGCTGTTTGGAGAAGTGGGACCATTGCGGAGCAGGAGGTGCAGCAGCAGCAGCAGCAGCAGCAGCTGAGGAGTCTGAGTGTGAAATAGAGCCTGATTAAAAGTTTTAAAGTGCCTTGGAAGACAAAAGAAGGGGAAGAAGAAGTTTTGGTGGAAGCTTCTCTCAGGTAGATTGAGAGAAGACTTGTACCAAAAATTTTAATATCTATCTTTATTTTTTTTATCCTGGCCCTAATCTACCCTGTTCTTCCGGAGAGCATTCACTGCTGGGTCATCTACGAGCATACTTCTGTCTGACAAGTATTCCCAGAGGACCGATGCAGAGCGAATTTGAAAGACAGATTCATTGATCGTTTTGACTGGACTGTTTGGTGTACGGATTAAATGATTGGCAGTTTGACAACTGACAAACTGACACTGATTGATCGATCAGCGCTTAACTGGAGTAGACCTCTGACAAACATGCAGTTTAAATTGCTTACAAATGGATTGATGGATTGATTGGCCTTGCCGTGGATTTTGCAAAACGGCATTTAAACTCACCATCTCTTCTGCGGCGCTCCAACGTCGACTTGGCAGGGCCAGAGGAGATGTAGAGGAAGCCATCCATGAAGAGGGAAGTGTCAGACAGCGAGGGATTCTCCGACCACTGCTCGAGTCTGGGGAAATCTACAAAGGGGGGTAGAGACACAGTAGATGAGCAAGGGAATGGTTTTCCCCAAAGAATGCAATGGCAGTGGTGCACCATCCTGATCCTTCACTTGCACTTGTGTAATCAGTTCACCTCCACCTCCATACTATTACTTTTAAATATGATTTTTACTGTCCTTGATCCCCAGTGAATACTGGTATACTGCTCTCCAATAGCAACCATGTATCACTGTATTTTGTGATAAAGACAATTTCAGATAAACTGAAAGATTAATTGCTCCTTTATAAGTTGAGTCTTTCACTGCCAAAATTTATATTCAGGTTCCAGTTTATTAGGAAAATCTAGCTAAAGCTAATGCAGTCTAAAACAACAGTCCCACACTAAATTCTGCTTCATGAAGGAAAATAATGATATAATCCCTTTTTGTTGAAACCCCATTTATATCAATGAGGGCAGACTCAACAACAGAAACACCTCAATACAGTTCAACAGCACCACAAACTACATCCTCCAAAATGATCACAATGTTGAATCGACACCACTTTAAAAAAAAAAAAACGGTTCAATTTTGCCAGACACAGAATTTTGCCTGTATTACTGCAGCAACTGCATATACAGCATTATCCAGATATTATCTGTCATATTGTGCAGCTTCCATCGCAATCATCGCTGATATCCTATATTATAAAAAAAATAGTTTTGGATTTGGAATGTAGGAACGTTCCCAGATTAAGATAGCACTAATCCCAGATGTGATTCTACTGTATCTTTTTCTCCCCAACCATATTCACGTTAAAAAAAAAAAACAAAACCTGACGACAGAGATCGTCCTTCAACCCGAAAACATGGATTCATGGCCCAGCGTTAGCGTGCTGCTACACTGCTGAAGTGTCCGTAAACAAGACGCTGAATCCCCATCAACATCACGATTGCCGTTCTTCAACCTGCACTCTAACCTCCATGTGGAGAGTATTTCCCAGCGGGCATCAACTAAGAGGCACATTATTATCCACTTTTGTCCACGAGGAGCATAAAACATGATTATACAAACCGCTGTTTATTTAGTCATGACTTTGTCACATGGTCATTCTCTTGCAAAGTCAAAGATAAGGTGTAATGAGAGCATTACAATGCACCAAGTAACCTTCGTGTACTGTATCTGTTCAAAATGAGCTTTACACTCTGTCCTCTCTTCATCATTGTCCATTTAAATGAGAAGCTTTCCTCGCTCATTTTCCCCCTTTTTCCTCTAAACTCCCTCTACTCATCCTTTCTTGCTAGTTTTAAGAGATCCCCACATTCAACCTTATCGTTCTCAAATTCAATTAGCCCCAATTCTGGGGTTCAATTTTCTGCCAGAGCCTTGGCAATATCTTGGAGATTTTATCTTCACTACCTCTGGCTCTCTCATCAAGCAAGGTAAAGTAACTTTAATTGAAACCACTTTTAATTGAAGCGACATTTCCACCCTTTACTGACACCACCAACGCCACATCTCAAGGCCACATGTCAATCCACACAGAGAAAAACAAGATGCTGTGTGTTGTGATGCTGTACAGGTAATTTGTTTTGTGAAATACATGTTGATCTCAATGACACTCCTAGATTAAATAACAAAATGAAAATGGACCTCCAACATAGTGATCATAAATGAGGACTGTAAGGGATAACAAGATGAAAAACCACCTAACAATAGCATCATCATCACTAGGTAAATTAGCAGCAACAATAACAACAACAATAACAACAATAACAACATCATTATGTCTGGCATGATACAGGCATTTTTATGCACTGTAGCTATTTCTTTAAAATGCAATATATTTTTAATGTAATGCCAAGGATGCTGAGCCAATGAGGAGCAAGGTGAGATAAAGCCTGAGTGACGCTAGGTAGCAACATCTGTAATCTAGCTGTGAATCTAACATGGAGAATGTGCCTGCCAATAGCTGCATCATAAATACAAGGAATCTGACATACAATTTAATCAGCAAACTGCAGGGAGGCGAGTCTAACACACACATACACACACACACACACACACACACACACACACACACAAAATTGTCCAACCACTCAGGTTGAGAGAATGTAAATAAGCCAGTGGCATGATGCTGTATCAGTTGAAACAAGGCTCTCTCCGTGAGCCTTGTTACAACAGTCCCTCTGGGCCCCTAAAGCTGGACTCTGTTAAGATGGGACTGTGATGTCTGTGGGGGCGGCAGTTGAGAAGTCTGGCCTGTGCTGATTGGCTCAGTCCCCAGTGAAGGGAGGTGACATGACAGAGTGCTCAATTAGCCATCTGGTCGCCCACGGCAACGGTCACAAAGTGGTGCCCGACAAGCAGTGGACAGTGGGGTAATCAGAGGCACTCGCTCACACGCACACGCACGCACGCGGAAATACAGCCACACATAGTAAATGATAACACAAAGGACTAACATATGCAAGGCGAGCAAAGATAACATGTACAAGGCAGTTAAAGATAAAAGAGGCCAGAAGGCTAAATTTCTAAGTGTAAAAACACACAATCGTTCACATGATTACGGAAATGAAACCAATTTATTTACTGAGATATGTAGCCAGAGGGCACAAATACACACAGCCACTTTTTAGCCAATAACACTTCAAAGTAATTCTTCAAAATTAAAGCCATCCACATATATAGACACTCCATCAGGGAGAAACCTTTAATTTTCTCAAACTCTCAGCAGCAGCTTGTGACCTCCTGACCCTGTAACAATCCTGTGTACAGCCCTGTGTGTTGGTTAAAAAAAACAAACAGCTTCAACAAGCACAGAAAAAAAAACAAAAAAAAAACGACAGAGCCGTGCGACGTTGCTAACAACAGGGTGGAATGGAGACCCAAGATGAAACAGGCCCCTCTGATTTAGTGTTTGTGTATACGTGTGTGTGCTGGTGCTCATCTTTTTATTATCCACACAGAAAGCCTGCCAGATAAATTTTTAATGTGCCGCGAGATTCAGAGATTCCAGGCGTCAGGGATGCTGGGGTGGCAGGAATAAAACTTTTTCTTTGCCTCCAAATCCATGGTGTGTCATTTAAGAAGAAGCAGGATGATGTCGGCAGTATGAGGCATTGCTGTTTAGCTTGGTTTTACAGTACAACGACCCCCTGGGTGGAGCCAAGAGCCGCCATAAAACGCAATTTACATGTTTATATGCTCTGTTTACAGTTTAGGTATTAGCTGACACTTTTATCCAGAGATTTACAGTGGAATAGCTGGCAGGGATTCAGTATCTTGCTTAAAGACAAACAAGTTGTTTTGGACAGAAATCAAACTTGCAACCTTGAAACCACTATTTGTAGAATTTTTATGAGTTTGACATCTTACAAATAATTCTGAAAGCACAAGATATTTTTATAGTGAGACACCCAGAGATGATGGCACCCAACTCTACAGCGCTGTGTGGCTTTTTAGCGTTGTTCAGCTTGTTGTTTTGTTTGTCAGGTCTGCAACTTTACTGTTTTGGTTCAGCCTTACCGCTCTCGTTAGCATCATTTCCAGAGGAGCTGCTTTTAGCTTAAAAGGTTTCACTGTATGCTACCTGCCCAGCACCCAACAGTAAACAAAAGTTAGCAGCTATTTAATGAACACAGTGGAGCATTTATCAGTTAAAAGACCCATATATTTCCTTCAGGGGTTGGTGGACCGAAGCAGGGCTAGAAGGACACTGAATATCGGACTTAGATTTGTGAGGTGGACACAAACACTGCTCCACATGAAAGCTAACGTTGCTACATTTCTGCTGGATGTGTCAATAAACAACTGTTAACTAACACATTCATCTTAACAACTTTGTCACTGTTTTGTTTACAGCTGACATGGTTCTGCACCAAACTGCCATTGCGACTGACTTACGATATTTGACATTGGTCAGAGAATACATTGTTGAAAATAACATTTTTGTAAATTTTAATATAAGCCACTGTTGAGGGTCAAAATGGAAAAAAGACCTAAGACATAAACCAAATGCAGTAGCATAAAATTATCTACCAGATTAAAAATAATATATGTCAACATATTAGATTTTAAATACATGATACAAACGACACGTGATACAGCCAAGTTTCTCTTTATAAATGTTTACAACATAAAGACCTCAATCCATGCCCCAAAACATCGTCTACTACAGAGTTGATGCTTCAGTGCTTTTTTTCCCAGATTTGCTTCGCCAGCCTCTTTGGGAGTGATGTAAATCTGTGTGCCGGTTGGACAATAAATGCAACTAATACATCCAAACAAATGTGGGGCAGTAAATTGGAAAGGAGGCCAAGTGGAAGGTGGAGCTCTCTCGCTAATGTTGTGCAATACTTGCAAGATCCAATTACAAACTTGTCTTTCCAGTTGGACAGCGACCAGTGGCGCAATCAAACAGAGTGACAAGTCCAAGGACGTAGACTTCTTTGGGGTGTTACTTAACTATGCTTGTTTGCCAAACTGTTCTGTTGTACCATCCAATTAAACCACAGACCTGAATGTTGTAGCAGCACTATCAAAACGATCAGTGTTTCTTTGTCCATCAGCTGATGCTTTTATCAAGAATGATTTCCAAATTAGTGCAGAGGCTTTACGGAGCCACTAATTACTGTTCGCGCAGTTTCAAACCCACAAAATTCCAGTTATAGATTTGTTTCCTTCACCACTGGCGCTCTAAATTAACGTTCAAAAAGCAATATCAACAAATATCAAAGTACAGTATCCACAGTATTTGGTGTCAGGTATTATATCCATCACCATCTTTACGCTGCCAAGTGACAGGACAGACACTGGTGCCAGCACGGTTAGACACGATCTGTGCCAAAACAGATTATCCTAAAAAAAATGACATTGACAGTGTATGCTTATTTTGCCCTTTTTAATTCTTTTAGTTCCAGTTTTAAAATTTTGGCTTAAACTGTAGAAAAATGTTTCTTTTGATGTTGTCTATTTGCCACAAGTTGTCACCAATGGAAAATAATTTAAAATTTTCTGTCATCTCCAAAGTTTTAAACCCTTTTTTTTTTTGTTCCAGTGATGAAAACAAAACTTTTATATACATGCTTTTGATGGTTAATTTTATTTTTGTGGTCTTTGTGGCCTCCTGAGTATAACTTACGGGAATACGGCGCACATAAAAAATGATAGAGGAACCTAAAATTATACAAGAAACCACCACGGTGGCAGCCTTTGACTATAAGGGATAGAGCCATCATTGAAGCTGTCCACAGGGGTTCCCAAAGTACGAAGAAACACTGCCTCTGAGAGCTGTCCTTGGCTTTTTCTTTAATGGAATCTGGGATGGGGATATGTAAATGAACATGCTCCTACAGTATCCCAGGGTGCTTTGGGGCAAGCAGGTGTGGGAGGGAGAACGAGGCCCGTCGAGGCCTGTGTGCATGCACTCACGTATGCTTAGAGAGAAGTAGCAAATGAAGAGGCAATGCTCTGCCACCAGTGGATGTCCTAACACCGGCGCTACAAATGAGCTGCTGTGGAGGGAAGGGACAGTGGGGGGGGGGGGCAGGCTGACAGCTTTGTTTTGATTCGCTATATCCAGGGGAAATAGAGTTTTCCCATCTTTATTTTTACAAACTGGAAGCATGATTCTCACTAAGAGCTGCTCCAATTAAGACTTTAGTTGAGAATTGTTTAGGGTTGGCGATTGTTTATTGCTAGCTTGTTCCAGCCTCCCAGCAGGGGGATAGTGAATTTGGTAAAGAACCATGTTTATCATCATTCCATTCAGTGGAATTTCTGGCTTTACAGCACCATGTGGTGGTTGAATGAGGGCCTGAAGTGCACCCTTGTCTGTGGATGCATGGTTTATAAGACAAACAAAAGAGAAAGCAGTAAGGCGCGAAGGCACCACAGGTATGCACATGATGGCATGCTGCTGCAAACAAATGACATTCCTATATCTGTCCTCGTGTTACCTCGCCATGTGCGCTACCACTGTCCTGCTGGAGCAGCTGTAACTCAAGGCTGAGGTCTTTAGAACTCTACAACAACCCTTAACTGTGTTCTGCCCTCGTTACTGGCTGCTATATGGCTCCTTTTATTCTTCCCTCTATCTTCTCATTGTCAACACCACTCGATACAGTAGGGAGGGTGTCATATGGGTATTGAATTGTTCCCGGTTTCTGCCAGACGTAACACTGAGCACAACAACTGAGAAAGTTCAATTTCTGTTTAATCAGAATTTTCACAAGTTTTTTTTTTTTTTCTTTTTCTGCAAACTCAGGGGGCCACATGCACAAAAACAATGCAGACGCCACTTTCCACAGCTTTGTGTGATGTGACAATGTGGCCCGGCAGAAGGAAAATGTCAAAGTGGGAATTTGGACAGTAATTTGTCTGGAGCCTTAATCTTCTCCACAAACCACAGTAGTCTATTTCTTCACTGCAGTTTCACATATCATATTTATAGATGTATGTTTTTACATTATTTTACAACCAGTTCTTTTTAACCCTGTTAAAAAGGACGGCGGTGTTCTTGCCTCACAATATCCTGAGGCTGAATGATAATGATTGTTCGCACACCTAACTGAATGTGAATGATCGTCAGACAGAACTTTGGTATTAGATTATTTTGCAACATCAGTTTATATGGGATCAACTAAAAAATAAACTACAGTGCCATTTATCCATTATAATCAAGGAACATGTCACTTGTTTTTTAATAGTTTTTGAACAACAATGTAGGTCTATGGTAAAAAGGAGTATGTTATCAAGTTTTGGCTACACAGGCAATTGTTTGTTTTGCATCATCTGTAAACATCTTCAAATCATTTTCACCCTAATAAAAAAAACGCATCACTGATTGCTGGAATGGGTTTTAAATGTTGGTGCTTAACATAAGTCGTGTGCTGCAGAGTTGTCAAATATGGAGGTAATTCCTCAGGACACTGGGCTGGTGTTTCAGGATCTGAAGAGATTGTGTCATTTGAGGAATAGCCTCCTCCTTCCACTCTGCCACACAGTCCCAACAACAAGTGAACACTGTAAATCGGTCAGTATCATTTGGGTTCTCAGTAACCCCCCTGACCTAGGTCGTTCTTGCCTGCAGTAGTTGGACGGGTTAGTTGGACTCCCATCACTACAGGAAGAGCCTGGATAGCTCCATGTTAGTTAATGATGAAGCCCTACAACTTCTAGACACATAATGAGTGTGTAGAGAAAGCCTGTACGTACACATTTCAGATGGACAATGCCACACACGTGAATGTGTGTGCATCCGTCTGTCTGTCGGCATGTGAGTCTTGTAGCACAACTCCAAGTAATGGCCATCACCATGGCGACCAGGTGACCCATGCAAGCAATTAGGAGTCCCTAACAGGCTCAGTGCCGGCGAGTGTGCACAGATGCGGCGCATACATTATGTAAAATACAGTCCCTGAGAAAGGCTCCCCCGGCCCCAGCCAATGGCCTATCTCGCTCCTTTAATTTAATACATTCTTATCATCAGCCCTGTGTGGAGCCACACAAACAAAACACAGCCATCATGAGGAAGCCACACGACACAGCACATCTGTGCTGTGCCTCCAGTGCAGGGAACATGAAATGGGTAATACAAAGACTGAATTTTTAACTTATAACTCTCTGGTTTCAAATTTGTGGGTTTTTCTGACTTCATTTCCTATTCATGGCAGTGGAAAAAAGAACTTCCCACTGTGCTTTTATAAATGTGGCGGTACAGCGGTGAGTGAGGGTTTTAAACATGATTGGCTTGTTAAAGTGTAAAGACAATGGGCTGAATATATGTGGCGCCGATGGTTGTAAAAGTCCAACTCTCACACCTAGTTTAAAGGGCTTTTCACTGATTTATATGAGTGTCCGCTTTTTTTTTCTTTTTTAGGTCTGACCAGGAAAATATATGACTTATTATGTTTCATAGCAGCTTTCTGGGGTCCAGGACCTCACCTGGGTTGAACAATGGCTATGGAAAAGTTTCCTATATTCTAATTAGAACTCTTATTTCCTTTGTTTTTGAATGAAAGAGAATGTACAGTAATTATGAAAAATATATGCTCAGATACTCTAGACAAAACACACTAGGACAGAAGGTCGTCTCTTCCTCCAAAACCAAACACACAAGAGCAAAACTGTAAGAAGTTGATTAATCAGTGTGTTTGTCTGTTCTAAAGAAAGCAGATGACGTTAGCATAGCCGGCTAACTAGCTTAACAGTAAACTAGCATTACCTCCAAAGCCAAGGAGCATACCGGTAGCTAGCTACATTCTTTTGTCGGGTTACAGGTCACGTTACAAAAAATCCTGTTGAGGATTTAAGAACCAAATGCAACTACATCAGAGTTTAACGTTAGCTGCTCTGTCCTGCTTTTTACTTTCTAGTTGTCCTCATCTCACCTCATTTCTACAAGTAACAGCAAACAATAAAGCATACCTCTGTTTTGCTTGTCTGATTATCTGTACTTAGCATGCAAACACGGTTATGTCGGAACTAAATAACATTTTAATTACTTTTCAGAAATAATACTTCACTATATTATTAGCTACTTAGCTATTTGGCTAATGCTAAATAGCTCTACCCTTCAATAAAAAAAATTATGTAGGTCCTCCTCTATTTGGATAATCAACTGGTGAGGATGCTAACTTTTCGGCTACGACATGTCAATTTAGCCTCAATCTTTTATATTATTTATTTAGCTATCAATTGCATATTTAAGATGGTTTTGCAGAATTCCTAATTTAACATAAGTCAGTTGGAAACATTAAAAAGTGGGTTACGGTCAGGTTAAGCTGGAGATAGAGTTTTAAGCCAACTCACCAGAGTTCAGCTAGCTACAGCTGCTAAAATCTGCAACCAACTGTCACCAACAAACTCTGCAGTCACAGTTAGAATGAGAAGCCTGCTTTTGTTCACATCCCTGTGACCTGTTTGAAAAGTGAACATGGATTTGAAGTGTTAAATCTGCCACCATTAAGTGTAAAGTGCATATGTGCTGTGCAACAACGGACAGCTGGACAGGAGGGGCACCAAAAGTTACTTACCAGATAGTTTGTTCTGGTGCAGAAACTCCATCTGTAGCTTCTGTCCAGCACGTTGAGCCAAGAGATAGGGGGTGGAGTAGGTTGGATCTCCAGTGGCACACATAACATCTGCCCCACTGAAGACCAGCGCCATGGTCTGCAGCACGTCGGGCAACACCACAGCTGCACACAGCCCCTGTACACACATAAAACAAGATAAAAGAGCACATGATGACTTCCTCTCGACTGTGCCTTCTCTCGGGCCCACTATGTGTCCCATGCGGGCTCAACACCATTTATAAAACTCTTCAATAATTTATTTGTGGGTAATACTGTATTTCTGATTTTGACATGTTTTTGTAAAGCAGATTCCTGAGTCTGATTTTTAGTGGTCACAAATCTTATTTATGCAAGTCCACCTGTCACTTGACGTTTCCTGGTGTGATGGACTAATAATAAAAGACTGAATAAGTGCAGTCGCGGCTCATTGCATTCCTAAGTAGCTTTCTGTAGCTGGATTAATACTTTTAAAAATTTCACATCCCAGACAATGAGCCAGTGAAAATCCCTGAAATGCGAGTATGGTCTCACTTCCCTGTGTGGGAGGAGCAGCCTGGTGTCGCTCTGTGTGTCTATGTGTGTATGCCAGGTTGATAGAGGACAAAGAGTCTATAAAGTGGCGTCAGAAAACCATATAAAGTTTAGAATTGAGTTCCGCCCGTTGATCTCAAAAGAGAAGTTAAAATAAGATCAAACTTTAATACTCCCTGCGGGAATCATTAAATCTCTAATCCCTGTGAAAAGGGGAATATAGCAAATAAGAACAGGACAAATGGGCCATATTAAATATAATGAAACTAACAATTTCGAAGAAGAGAAATGTAGGAATAAAGACATGAAAAACAATGGAGTGAGCAAAATTACAGCGGCAGAGAATACTGAGGCAAAAGGGAAACAGGTAGTGAATCTGCTGCATGGAAACAAAGCAAGTATGCGAGACATATACAATATGAAACTGAAAATAACGACATGCAGTACATAACATGACACACACACACAAACCTTTGAAAAATTTGCTAAATATAGGAACACAGACTGATTTAAAATGCTTTCATGCAACTTACATTTTAAGGCATAGAACATGCAAAATCGAAACTGCCAAAAAATAGATTTCAATCATAATGTATGAAATCTACATTAGGGTGCCCATAATCATACAGTATGCCTTCTAATTTTAAACAAAAGGGAAAGTACGACATGAACTCAGTCTCATAGTCTTATTTTCATCTTGAGGGGCACTTTCATTAAGTCGAGAGACAGATTTAAAAAGAACGATCAAAATCAGCGCAGCCAAGCTGAGATATCTCAACATTTTGTCCCTAAAAATGAGTCAAGCTTGGAGCCTGCAATTTCCATAATGCAACTTAACAGAAACTTTCATCAGACTGCCTCTGCCTGTGAAATATCCTCATCTTTCAAACTCCAGCCAGTTTTTTAACGCAGGTTCTCAAATATTTAAAGTCTCGAGATATTTTCTTAGACTTCAGAAAGCTCCTCCAGGGTGACAGAAAACATTCTACAACCGTTTTCACAAGCTGGGCAGCACGATGCAGACTATGATAAGCTGAGACATCTGTCAATCAATCAATCAAAATCAAATCAAACATTACTATCAAGAAACAGGAAGAGAGGAAATACCCAATTAATTTCTTTACTCTTCTCTGTCACGTCTGTTTTCTCTGTACTCTATTTCTCCTATGCAGTGAGTCCCTTTATAAAAGTGCTTTAGCCTTGACTTCACTACAGACTGAATCTTATTTAGTGCCAGCATCCAGCGGCCATTAAAGGAACTGCTGCTTTAAAAGCACCTCTTCACTGAATTCATCATTCAGTGGTGGAGGGAGACACTTGCTCTCCAGGGCTTGCTTTGCTTTTATAAATACATGATGTTAAATCCCTTCTTTAATAAGGGCAGAAAACTTATATACTTAGTGTTTAGCCATGCAGACATGTTTTGTTAAAACTATTCACCCATTTCACTCAGTATTCCAGATAAGAGAAGGAAGATAAAAGGGCCAGAAGAATACAGTCTGACCGAGGAAAACATTTTCTCTCTGTATGTCTCTTCCTATCAGTCCAGTCAATTGATGTGACATTGTGCACGATGACCCACAACGAAGTGGATCAACAAAGGAGTCAAGTGGCAAATAGCGGAATTTCAACGAGCAACCTCTCCTTTCATCTGACTTGGACCGAGTCAGTAAGCTGCATTGATCTGCCACAAACAAGCAAGATCAGTATGAAAGTGAGGCACAGCAAGGCTGCGCATATACACACAGGCAAAGTACACACACAAACAGAGTAACTGTCAATATAACCTGCCCACCCACACAAAGGACCTGCACTGAGATAAAGATGTTTAAGTATTTGTGTGTTCCAGGCTCACAGGCTTTTTTTTTCCTATTTATGTGCACAATTGCTGCTGCAAAAAAAAAATCAATTAATCTCCATCCACAGAAAATGTCAGAAAATGAATTTGTGGAAAGATATGATTAGTTTATTCACTTCACTCTTTGTCTTTTTCCTCTCACACACAAGAGGGGGGGGGGTCAGATTATGGCAAAACAGTCCCATGCAACCTGGCCTTATTCTGTATCGTCTCTGGAAATGACCTTCCGTGTCATAGCAATTACTGCAGCCACTAGAGGGTTTATGTGTGTTAGTGTGCGAGTGTGTGTAATGATATAAGAGGGTCCTTTGACACCCCCCTCTCTAGGTCATGTGGCCTGCGGAGACTCTGTGGAGGTCACTGGGATATGAGCTTCTAATGGGGAACATGGGACTGAGAGATGGAGAGAGCGGCGGATAGAGAGAGGGCATGAAATGAAGGAAGCGGATGTAGAACGAAAACACCTTAAACAGAATAAGCACACGCGGTTGATATTATGTAAGGAGACGAGTTGACGCAATCAGGTATAAATCACTTCGCCACCTTTTTATTCTTATTTCATTACTTGAATTGACACTTAAAACGGCGATTTACTGTATGTGTCGAGTATGTTTCATGACCCCGGGGCGCATAAAACCTGTTAAAATGCCATTGCATGATTTCAAAATTGCATGAATGTCAATGAGGAAATTACTTTTATTATTGTCTCTGTACAAGAGAAGCCTCCCAAAGGAATAGGTTTTATATAGCTTTTATTTTTTTTCCTGTTCATACTTGCGTTATAGTAAGTAAATGTGACACAGAACTGGAACAACGTGTCCAATGAGATTAGACTCAGTGTCCTTGTTTATGTTAAAAATACTTTTTTTTGTATTTTTTTTTAATAGGTTGCTGTGATTTATTACTTTTTGCTGAGATTTGTGGACCTGTTTTTAAGAGTTTATCATTTCAGCAAACAGACACACACAAGTTGAGCCATCCTGTGGCATAATGCCTCTATGACATATTGATCCCTATCAAGTCTGCTGAGCCCATTTATAAAGGCAGACTAGACAGAGCGACAGCAAACACAACCACCCACCTCCACTTTTTTTTTCTATTCCTATCTTCCTCTCTCTCACACAGACACATAGATAAAACACACACACACACACACACACACACACACACACACACACATCTCCACTGGCCAAAGCCTTTTAGGCAGCTACAGGCTGAATCCAAATGTCCGGACGTGGGCTGCCCAAATCAACAATTCATCAAGTCCACAAGGGCTGTCGAGTGGACTTCCTGCAGGACTTCCAGAGGGTCCGCTAGGGGTAGAGACTTTAAGGGACTTTGCATGGAAAATGACCCATATTCAATAGTGATTTGGATGTGATGAAGTAAAATCCATTATTTTTGAAGACTTTTTTTCCCCTCATTTTTGTTGTATGAGTTTATTCGTGTAGTAAGGTTTCATATTGCACATAGAGAATATGAACATGGCTCACATAATGTAGCAGAACTGCACATATCACACACAAGTTGTCGATATGAAGATCTAGCCAGACAAAAAATCCTTTGCATTGAGTTACAGGGTGAGACATTTCAGTTAATCTCCATGGAAACACATGAGGTCTTCAAGTCCCGTCTCTTAGCTCATTTTTAACCCCTCGCAGTCCAGCAGACTTGCTGACACGAAGACGGCGAGGACGGTACACTGTGCGTTATGACAAACGTCTGCGAGGGCTCAGCCCAGAGGGTGGACATTTGAATTCAGACACATTCTCTCTGTGTCTGTCACACTTCCTCTCCTACACCGCCCGGCGAAAAAAAACTCCCACTATAACAGCAAATTCACACATCTCTAGCGGAGCAGCCCACATGTTCACACGCATGTACACACACCACACACTCCCACAACCACTCACACACACACACACACACACACACACTCAAAAGCCAGCAAAGCCGCAATAAAACCAACCCAAGCGTTTCTGTTGTGGATCCTAATCCACTTTTCCACTTAGCTAGCTAGTATATCTCTTCCTTACTTTCTCCCCTCTCTCTCTCTCTCTCTCTCTCTCTCTCTATCTCTCTCTCTCTCTTTCTCTACATCTCCATTCCTCTCTTTCTACTCAAGAAAACAAAACAAGGGGGTTGATCTGCGTAAATGCTGACGCAGGTGGAAACTTAGAGGCTCGATACACGGTGCTTTTAAGACCCTCTTTTTAGAGACAGGTTTTTTTTTTTTGCCGCAGCAATAAACCCTAAACCACAAACTGGCAGAGAAGGCCTTAGTGCCAACTTGCTTATACTTAAGATCAATAAGATGCCCCCTTTGGCATCTTTAGACTTATAGTGCAGTTTTACTGGCAGTCAAAAGGTCAGAAGAATACGGTCTATTTCAGGTTCAGGGGATTTAGCTAATGGAGTGGAGCGATGTAGCGTGTTCCTTAGAAGCACAGATGAGGCTTCTGTAGGTGCCCACTTCTGACTGCATGCTTGGTGCACTTCAACTGCACTTTGGTCTCCTCATAACAGACAATTACCTTGGTAACCAGCAATAGTAAAAGACATTCCAAGTCTTAATGTTTTACCTGTTTACACTATTGCTGCTATCAGGACATAACACTGCTAACTCTAGACGTTGTGTGTGTGTGTAAATGTGTAAATGACAGTGCAGCTGAAATGCACTGTGGCTGCCAGGTAGAGAGTGCAGCACTGCAAAAATCAATGGAACCTAAAGCACAAGTTAACAGACAGGTGTGATACTCAATGGCCAGTAAAAGAACACAGAGACAGCTCCTAAACGTTAATGTATGAATAACAGAACCATGTTAGCAATATACTAGCTGAAAACCTCAAAACATTATTTCTATAACTTCGATTTCTAGCGTTGTGACTTCTGCTCAAGTGGCTTTATGGAAATCACACCTGGTTGAGCTGCTCCAGGTCATGAAAGCCCTCCACGACCCTCCGGTACTTCCTCTCCCTGTACTTCCTGCGGATGAACGTGGCGCGCTGCTCCGCCGAGGCCCCGCTGTGCAGGTCCTCCTCCAAGGGAAGATTAGCAGCCCAGAAACTGTTAGCATTCTTGTTCCCCACCTCCAGGAAGAGCTGACAGGTTGGAAAACGTACACAGGGGAAAAGGAATCCAGGTGAGAATCATTTGTAGACCCATTAGTAGTGTTTGAATTTGCATCCACCAAGCGCAAAGTAAAAATGAATGTGTAACACATCACAAACACATCAAATCTGATCCATTTTAGCTGGGAGAAACCGCTGATACAGTAGGTAAATGGCTGGGGGGAAATATTTGAACATGTATAGTAGTTATTTGGCAGTAACAAATGATTTTTGGCAGATAATAACTTAATTTTTCTTATGAGGGGGAAGAAATAATGATGCGAGTTGCACACATACCTCCACTAGCTCATTGCTCCAGATACTGCTGTCCAACTTCAAGCTCCGCACTTTGGAAATACTCGGGCCGAGGGAGCGGTGTTGTCCTGGTACACAGGAAGACACAGTCATCAGCGCGATTGCACAGATACACAAACACGCACAGACTCAGAAAATCATACGAGCCTTGTGTTCATGAAACCTTTCTTAATTAGATATGGCTGGCTGTCAGGGCTCTTAGTTCCTGAAAAGTAAAAAGAAAAAATTAAGATGTACATATATGCACAGAAATCTCCGCCGTGTGCACAAACACACACCAAATGTCTGCAATGGAAAAAACAATAAACAGGCAGTAACAAGATGGAGAAACAGAGCATGACCGCAAGCTCATTCTCTCACTCACAACAGACATATTTAGTCCCCTCAGCATTTCTAATTGGAAATGAAAGCACAGAACGAGGGCCATTAATTGCTAATGAGTCATGAGTAATTCATTGTGTTTGTTGGTCGGCCTGTTTATTTGGGTGAACGAGAGGCTTCTGGGGTTGCTCATGGCCAAAGACAGAGCATACATGCATAATACATTAGACAGAAACACGCTGTATGTGTGAATGTGAATTATTGTCCTGTGTGTAACGGCGGATAATTTTAGATTTAGATTTGGCATGATCTCATTACTGTCTTCTATGCTCAAGTAGAGCAGCTGTGGATGAAAATGCGGTGCCATGAGCTGTGAAAGGCCATCTCGACACAAATCTAGAGGGCACAGATGCCAGAAATCTCTGAATAATTTTCAGCCATCATCAGATATTAAAAAGAGATACTAACTAGTAAGTTATTTTTGATAACAAGTGATCATTATTTACCCTATGTACTTTAGGAATGCCGGTGTTTTCTCATGTCCATACTGAGCGGAACAAACCATAAAATTGGGGTCTTAGATTATGAAGATTAAGCAGTACGTACTGCATAATCGGTGTAAGAGCAAAACACAGACTTTATGCAGTATAATAAACTTTCCCAAATGTGCTTTCATTATCATTTTTTTAGCTTTTCTCAAACATCTTAAGCTGTGGTGCCTTTTTGAATGTGACACCAGGATGCATGAACTGACTGACGGACTAATTGCTCCAAGATTGGATTTTGAATCTGGTATGCCATGCCATGCCCCATTCTGATCAGGCTTGATGTGACCAGATGATAAATTAAGGGGCAACTGGCAGTCCCAGTTTTCCTGCCACAACAGTTGTGAGCCAAAATTATCTGGTATACTGCTACAGTTTAAATTGCAAAGTTTTAGACCACTTGTAATTTAGTTTCTTTCAGAATCAACACCAATGACTATGAATTTTTTTTTTTTTTTTTTTTTGTTAAACAGCTGTGTGTCATCTGCACTGTTGAAAATTAAACATTTACATCGTGTTGACTTACAACTTGGCTGAATGGAAGTATGTTTAATGAAAAAAGTGGGTGGACGAAGTACTGAACCCTGAGGAACAAATCATCAATATTTACAAAAAAACTGTTGAGGGCCTTTACAGAAAAACAAGCCATGTGTTTTCAAGTTATTCAGTAGCACTGTGTATCTACCATATGGCCTCCTATAATGGATGAGGCATCATCTACATCAGCACTTTGTCTGAAGTTGTTCAAGACTTTTGCTAGCACAGTGTAACATGAGCAACGTGATGCACAATCGCCTTCAGCAAGTATGTTGAAATGGGATCCAGGCAGTAGGTGGAGGATTTTAATTATGTTGTTATTTCAACAAGCTCCAAATTATCTTGTTTGTTAAAAATATTAAAAGTCTGTCTCAGGAGAGACACTATACCCTTGTACTCCAGATGTTATGTCTGATCAAATTCTCTCATTTTCTGATGAAAGAATTTAGGAAACTCTTTAACAGTCTTTAACAAAGACCCAGCAGCAATCAAGGCTGTTTAGACTGACTCACTAGATGGTCAATCGCCATGAAAAAAACCTAAGGTTTTTTGTTTGTTTGTTTGTTTTTTGTTGTTGTTTCATTTGTTTGTTTACAACTACCCAAATGTGTTGCAGCTGAGCCCTGAAACTACAAATAAAAAGGATTCCCCTCTCTTCCAAGGTTAAATCAAATGTTTTTTTCTGAAAAACTTTACAAGTGTGGACACATTAGTGTAGTCAGAAGTGTTTAAATATGGTCTCTTCAACCCCTAAAGTCACATTGAGAAGACCGGAATAATCACTGCCTTCCGGACCACATGGGTCCAGCTTGACAAATAAAGGCCAAAGAGCCAGATTCTCCTGTGAGGGAGTGAAATTATGGCACTCTGGGTGCCTGCTGCAGTGCTATAGCCAAGCTCCAACCACTGAGCCATATAGCACCACAGGACCATTTTCACTTGTGTAAGGGTAATGAAGCTGAAAAAAGTGTGCTTGCGCACGTGCCACCGGGTACGTGGTGAGATCTTCACATATAAATAGCCTGTTGTAAATGTCTTTATTTTTCCTGTGTAACCAAAACAACATTCCAGACACAGCAGCAGCTTTCACAAAAAATTTTAAAAAACAATTAAAAATTGTCCAATCTGCCAAGGATTTCAGCTCCAATCAAAAACGTTCCCAGTGACTCCAGCGACAGGTCATGGAGCACTTTTCCAGCTCTCCATACTTATGGAATTTCCCCCTCATTCAATGACAAGTCAGAAGGAAACAAAGCAATGAGCACTGCATTTTTGTGTCACCATGGCAACTGTTGCCAACGGATGTGTCTAGAAGTTGCATCCTGGTTTAAAGGAGTTTATTGCAATTATATGAGAAGACCTTCCAGTCTGTGGAGTAATGCCATTTCCTCTGGGGGTTGTGCCAGACAGAGGGAGAAAGGGCAAAGAGAAGGAACAAAAGTTAAAAGTGGAGAAAGAGGGAGAGCTTTTGTTATCAGGGAACTAAGATTACTGATGAATGAGTGCAAAAGTGGTCACTTACAGTGATAAACCCACAAAATGTATCACAGAATTCTATAGTTTGCCTCTGCACTATGTGGAGTTTTAGCTTCTTTCTGCTCATTTAGTTTAATTTAGAGTCACCACTCTCGTCAGCCTCATTTCCAGCAGCAGCAGGTGGCAGTTTTCAGTAAAACTGGCTCTGATAAACCTACTGTACGCTACTTTCTCAGCAACAACGTGCAGACAGACAATGCCAGCAAGATGCATGGGTGGAGCACTAATAGATATTCAACCCAGGAATTGGCAGAGACCAAATAGAGCTTAACAGAGATGAACTATTGGACTGGGTGACCAGAAACATGACTCTAAATGAATGCCAATGTTTCTCTATGTCAAACGAATGCATAAATAGACAGTTTCTTTAGCTAGATCAAATGTATGTATGTTAATGTGTTTACACTTGGTGTGGTTGCACTGCTCCCAAGTGGCCAAAAAAATCAATTAATGCAGGATATTGCCACCGGTTTTTGGTTTTTACTCAATGTTAACAAATAATGCCCAGAATAATTCTGAAAGGAGTGTATTATATTATATATATTATATATCTGTAGAAATGATTCCTGCTGCAAGACGACATTGGTGTTCCTGTAAATAAAAACCTCTTGTGGCAAGGACAGTTCAAAGTATGCATCAGTAAGAAAAACATTCTTTGTGTTTACTTACTTTCTAATAAAAGACACTAATGTTGAGCTGAGTGGTTTGCTGCATCTCTTAAAGTAATTAAGAAACCACAGGAGTGTGCAGAGTGCTTGTGCTACATATAGTATTTAAGAAAAAAAGATTTTCACTTACGTTTTTGTATTATTTAGTTTTTGGTCAGATTCACCTGTTTTCTAATGATAAAGCTAAAAGCGGATTATTCTACTTTTAATTAAACTGACTGCGAGCCCCTTCAAGTCGACGCAAACAAAGACAAAATATTACAGTATGAAGCTGCTCCACAACAGAGAGTGAAGCTATAGACTATTAAAATTCATTCTGTCTTGGCAAGAAAAGAGGAAAGCCAGTCTGGGATCATTTTTACCATTAGCCTTCTCATTACTTCTTTCCTCTTCCTCTTGTTCAGCATTTCTCTTTATTGTCCATGACATGAGAGCGCTAATTAAAAGCGTGAGCAGTCATTGGTATTCCAAATGGACCACCGCCTAATTTAAGGAGAGCGCAGTGTGAGGACAGCTTCCTCCGTTGCAGATATTCACCCTCTCTCTCCCAGCGCGTCGACAAAATGTAATATTAAACACCCCTGCAAATGAAATCATTTAAGGGTGTTTGAAAAGGGATGTTGGATATCTGATGCGTACCAATTACATGGGCTTTGCAGAGGTGAGGTGAAGAATCGCATTAAAACTTATGACTCTGGGAGAAATCTCAAGCTTGGAGAAGGTCTGGAAGGGGAGGAGGGAGTGTACAGGAGCATGCAAGAGAAAAAATATATATACACCAGACACCAACCAGAAAGCCCCTCCACATCGAGCATGGCTGCTGCTGCGTCTCTCTAATCATGTTTAGCGGGTCAAGAAGCAGTTTGGGATTCCCCAAGTTCTCGCCCGGGGCTTAATCTTTGTTGTCATTTCATCTGAGACATCCAGCGTTGCCAAATAGATTAGAGTGAGTCCAGAGGCCAGGCGCCAAGCCCCGTGAGTGGCTTATCAACCTGAGATCTTATTCCAAAAGAGCCCTCTGGGTCAGAGTACATACTCACTAACAAATATCAGACCGCACAAACAGATTAACAATCGAGTGCTAACGCCCCTTTTTTTTTTTTTTATTTTAGCATGTTTTTGAGTCTTGCTCATAACTTTTCATTAGCAGCATGGTCTTTTTTTTGTTTCTCTATATAAACTTAATAAGCAAATAACATCACTTTATATGAGCAAAAGAATGGTGTATGTTGATTTTCCAACTGTGACCCTTTACAGCCAGGCGGTGCTTAGTCATGACTCCCTGTCATAGGTCATATATGCATGTGTATGAGCTCTGAGAAGAATGAGGATGATGTTCCCTATCCAGATTCTTTTATTTTAAGACATTTTAGAAGTAGGATTTAAGGATTTAACATAATTTTGAGTTGTTTTTTTTTCAGTGAAGGATTGCTTTATGGGTCTATAATTCATTAACAATTTCCAATAATTATTTCCAATGAATTGCAAGCATAATCTAGCGGGTCTTTTAGTCTGTGCAAAACAAGTCCGCTGAAGATTCAATAGAAATTTGTCAACAGGAAAACTATTACTTTTAAATTTAACATAACATAATCAACAAATTCCTAAAACAAAATAACAGTCTCAGACCTTTGTCTCTATTCCGCCTGTTTTTTGTTTCATTTTTTCCAGGAAACTTCTTATGATAACCATGAGGGAAATTGTGGACCCGTAACATAGAGTGTTGCAGTTTTGTTCTCCTTTTTTCCTCTCTTGTTCATCATCAAGCGACTGACTCTTCAGATTTGTCTTGTAGGTCCCTACTCGTCGGTGGGGAACCACTGGTTTTAGAGCGACCTAATGAAGCGTGTTGTGACAGGCTGTTTGTTGCTATTCATACAAAAGCTGTCTTTACAAGTAGGCGATTGTTCATCTGATTGTTTATCTTTAGTCTATGCACAGTATGTTGTTCAGCAGTTTGTATGTCGGCATCCGGCACGTGTGTGTTCATCACAGAGCCAAAGGAAGCAAAGTGTAAAGCTGTGTGCGTGTGTGTGTTTGTGTGTGTGTGTGTGTGTGTTCCTTACCTGCACATTTCTTACAGATGACCACACCCAGATTGACAGACGCCCACTCCGGCTGCGGGGCGCGACAGTCGGCGCAGCTCCTGTTGGCCTCGTCGAACCAGATCTTCTCTGCCACTTCATAGTCGGAGAGTGTCTCAGCGATCGATTCTTGGACCGCTTCAATCCACTCCTCCTTCTCCCGTTCTGACTCGGCCGTGAAGCTGCAACAATTGATTTTTTGCCCCCCCCCAATCCCCAACACATGCCTCACTGTTATTGATTTGATTTGAGAGAGCAATTAAACAGCATAGTATCGCTTGGCAGGGTTACAGGGGTGTGCAGTATTTGGAGTAGTTTTGAGGGGGTTGCTGAGTGTGTATGCCTATGTGTGATTGCAATAGATTTGGTGAAACTGATAGTGGGGGTGGGGGGTGGGGGGGTGGAGTGATGAGAGCAGCAACGGTGCAGGTAAATCAATCTGTCTCACCTTGCACCACTAAAATCTATAGTGCTAATGCAGGATATTTTTCCAGGATATTATTTCTATATCAGACTCAGGAAAGTTGAGAAATGGTGATGGAAAAAGAGTAAAAAACATTTACATTAAAAGAAATCGTGTTTAACACTCTTGTCCCATCAGGACTTACAATCAAGAGCCCTGTCAATTTGAAAGTGAGAAAATGTACGAAGGAGAGCAGTGAGATAAGCTTGGCAATAAAAGTGGTGTTGCTTCTTCTGTTGACATGGCTGCAGTTACAGACTTACAGACTCGGATTATAAAGTAGATAACAAGAGTGATTTGGAAGCAAACCTCATTAATTGTGAGTGAGACTGCGCTTCACTTTCATGTCAACCACAACTCACCATGTACAAATTATATGGGCACTTGTCCAATTCAGTGGAGAATCTTAATAGAAATCTTGAGGCCTCAGCGAACAATGACTTTGTTTACATGGACATAAGAAATCAGGATACTCAGGAAACAGCGTTTACATGCACTGTAGTAACGTGGTTACACGGACCAGGTCAGGAATGAGCCTGATCTTATTCTGGACACATTATTATTTCATTATCATATGTTATTTCACCTGCATTGGTGATACAATATGATGTTTCCTCACTGAAAAGTGGTGGAAACTTATACTTATATATACTTATACTTAAAAATAATAATAGATGGGCTACTTTGAGTTTCAATTCTGGTCTGATTGGATGGAATTATTTTAAATATGAGGATGTATCTTTAGATGTAATGATTTTTAATATATATACATACACACACACACACACACACATATATATATATATATATATATATATATATACATATATATATATATAAATGGTTATATATAATCCCCTAAGAGAAGTCTAGCCGAGGAAACCAGGTTGCCAGGTTTCTCTTTAAGAAATCAGCTCACTGGAAAAAGCCGACTATAATCTGGTTACGGCATTTAAGCAAATAGACTGAATGATATTTTATGATAACCGACTGATAACACTTTAGAGAAGGATTTTTTTCCATTTGAACGTGACAGTGCCCATGTCCACAAAGCATTGAGTCAGTGTCTGGTGTGGAGGAAACTCATCCAACTCCTTTGGGATGAACTGGAACAATGGCTGTGAGCCAGGCCCTTATCGCCCGACATCAAGTACCCATCCTCCTCACTAATGCTCCTGTGGCTGAATGGGAGCAAATCCCTGCAGCCAGGTTCCAAAATCTTGGCTAAAACCTTCCCAGAAGAGTGGAGGCGGTAACATTTGGCTTTCTACATACTTATTTCAGGTGTCAATGTTCTTTTTGCCATATGGTGTATTTAGGAAGAGAAGGGTTAAATGATTTAAAAATGGCTATATCTCATTTACTGATTGAAATAATATCACCAGAGAGGTCAGACCAGGGGGAAAGACAGGGTTGGGAGGTAAGGAATAAAAAAAAAAAAAATCTAGTGGCAGTTGGTCACACCTGGGAACATGTAGAACAGGTATACAGTACATGCATTTAAAATATAAAAACATAAAATATACATATGCACACTACACACATTTAAATATCGTGAACCGTTAGAGATCCCACAGTGGGATTCGCCTGTCATTCAATCCATCTGTGTCTCACGCATATGTTTTCCAGAGTGAAGAGATCTTGCTGGAAGACACACACACACACACACACACACACACACACACACACGCACACACACAAAGCAGCGACTGGATATTATTAGGCTACATCGTAGGGACAGACAGCACAAGTCTCTGACGGAGAAGGTGGTATTTAAGTGTGTGCGCTAAATGTACTGAATAACTCAAGATTAGCTAAATGTAAAGAGTGTGTGACAAGCAATATGAGCGCAAGTGTGAGCTTAAGTGAGAGCACGCGAGAGACAAGAAGACAGACAGCATAAACAACAGAGATCGACAGATGTATAAAATTGAGAGGGGAAAAAAAAGAGAGAGAGTCTTAGCTTGACTGAAAGAAGCACTTAGAAAGGAGAAATGGGACCACTGGTTTCCATGGCAACCTGGCGGACCGGTGCCGCAAAGTAAGACAGAACACGAAGGGTTGGGGGGGGCGGGGGGGGGGGGGGGCTTTCGCCCGGAGCAGAGGATGTGCACCAGGGCCAGCTTCACCCAAGTAACCCAGCAGGGATCGATAGGTTGATTGGGTTCAGCCGTTCTGTGCCCACCGGCCTCTGCCCAGTGCCCCCGTCTAAAAAGATGACTGCGCACATCGGCCGTTGAAGTGCAACGCGGCCTCCGAAACCACAGAGGGGCAAAGGGAAGCGGCAGGCAGGAGGCAGCGCAAGTGTATGGGGAGGCTCCCAAGCTGCAGAGTTTTAGATACGAAGTGAAGACCTGTGTCAGCTGAGGCCACAAAACAAGCTGCAGCTTTAAGGACAACAGGCGGTAAAGAGGAAAAATATCAACTCCAAGACAAGCTCAAATACGCCTTCCAATCCACTGAAACATGAAAACAAATGGAAGTAAAATTACTTTGTTTTACGGGCTAAGAATAATTAAATTGTTGCCTTTGTGGTGATTATAAATTTACTCGTGACTAAGCTGTTTGCATGTGCTATTTTTCATTAAAATTACAACTTTCAATCAGTCTCATACTTTGTTGAAAAATGTCAATCATCCTCATAACCACAGGCTTCAAGCTTCCACCATCTCCCTCCCCGCCACTAACCACAGTCATAGAGCTCACGTTATTCCACGCTGTTTCCATGTAATTATCTGAGAATTTATCAAAACTGAAAGCAAACTAAGAGTTCAATGAATAGAGTAATCCACAGATCCGAGGAACACTTCGTAAGCCCCCAAGTCTATGTTGTTCAACAATTTATTGATTAGTTTGACATTTTGAGGAAATATGCTTTTCGCTTTTCTGGATGACAGATGAGAAGATTGATACCACTCTTGTGTCTGTACATTAAATATAAGTCAGGATAAGGTTATATCATGGACAGAGCCAGGCTAGCTGTTTCCCCCCTGTTTCTAGCCTTTATGCTAAGCTAACCCACCCATCTCCTTGCTCTAGCTCCATATTCAACATACAGTCATGAGAGTGGTATCAAGCTCCTCATCCAACTCTCAGCAATAAGGCAAAAGAAGGCAAACTATTCAAAAACCATAAAAAAAAATTAAAAAAAGCACATCTAACATCCCATTTCAACTGGCCGACGTGACCTTCATGGTCCTGGAGTTGGAGAAACTGCTCTTTATATTCAGCTTAATGGTTTCCCATTCACCCAAGGACGTCACATCAGTCCCTGCTCATGAAAATGTATTTTTTATAAATGTAAAATGACAGTTAAATCTGGTAATCCAATTTTGATGTGAAGTATCTTGACATTCTTTTGAAATTCTCAATTATGGTGGGCATTAAATCTCAGGTTTACTTCCACTGGTGTCTTTCATCCTATTTGATGTGTAAGGCTTTTACGCTCTGCTACCCTAGAGTTTTCGTTAAATATAGCATTTAGTTCATCGGTTTAAATAGAGGAGCATCAATATTTCTTTCATCACACCTAGTCATTCCCAACAGCATTCATTACTGAAGAGCTTGGATATGAGAATAATCAATTAAGCCTCCATAGTGACCTTGATGCGAAACAGTTCAGTGCACTTCTAAAAGCCACAACTCACCATCATTTAAAAAAAAGAGTTACATTAAGCTATTGTAACATTGTCAAATGTATCTAAAAATGGGACTCCAATTTCAAATGCCAGTCAGCAACACCTGTAAATTAATTTTGGCTTCAGAGAGCCAGCCAGAAAATTACAAAAAAAAAAGTGTTATTCCAACAAACTGAAATCAATCATTATGACAGAAAATATACAAGGTGGTACTATAATGTAAGATGAAAAAACTCTGAGGAAACACTGGCAGAAATAAAAAATTAAAAAAAAGATAAATCAATCAAACATTTTACCCAAAATGGGATTCAGCCTATTTAAAGTGGTTTTCAGGAAGGTATGAGGAGGTAAAAAAAAAAAATAGTGACACAATGCCGTCTATTGTTTCTACAGTCGGCGGCACAACAATGTGATCAACTACAATAAGTAACTATTTGAAGGATCATGAGGTTTATATTAAACAATCCTGAGACTGCCTGTGAGTTCAGATTAATGTCAAGTCTGCAAAAATGACCCTGATGATGTCACAGTGATGTCATCAGTGGTATCTTGGCTTATGCTTGAGACGCTAAAAGTTTGCAACAGATAAGCCGCTTTAAAAACTGGGGGCAGAGAGTTCAAAAGACTCAAACTAAAATAATGGTACTAGTTGCATTGTGGGAAATGTAGGATCCAGTGTTTTTGCAGCTTTACTTGGAACGAAAACTAAGGTTATCTTAACCTCTGCTGCTCCGATATTGACCATTCTCTTTTCAATCCATCTCTTGTGAGCCTCCCAATGTTACGGAAGTGCACAACTAAATAGCTGAAGTGCCCCTACCTAAACATATGTAAATATAATGAAAGAGTTATCGGTCACTGTAAACCCTTCCTAACCGACTTAAAGGGACAGAAAATCCAGAGTCAAAGAGGGAATATGGTAATGAAAAGACTGTAAATGATGGAAATACCTTCTTGATTTGTTTAACTCAGACTGCTAAAGCCTCACATTAGTTTCTGCTTCACGGAGAGGAGCAACCAGTAATTCTCTCAATGTACATTTGAGTATATGAGAAGTGCTTTAAGATAGATTTGAAAAATGTAAAACGGTAATATCCAAAATGCAAACAATTTAACCTAGTTATATCTACCAATACAGACAGTGTAGCTTTGGGGTTTTATATGTCATGTTTTTCTATCATCCAACTGTGAGCATTTCACAGTGAACCTGTATTTTTGTGCCGCTCAAAGATTTGAAAAATTAAATTCTAGATATTCAACAGAAAACATGCCCTTCCAAAACCAATGCTCAGGATAATCCAAAGACCTCGTGCCACAATTTTTGATTAGGAAATATTTTCTGTCAAAGATAAAAAAAAAAAAAAAAAAGGAAAAAAAAAAAAGAAAGAAGTGAAATTGTCCACACATTTCAATAAACACACCAGACAAACACGGATTCTCTCCAATATGCCCTTGAGCTAGCTGTTTATCTGCAGCTTTATTTTAGTAAAAGTGTTTTCTGATCAAGAGCAAAAAGTTTGGGTTTTTTTCTCCAAACTTGAGTGTCTTTGCCTGGTAATATCTCCTCTCCGCCTCATTGTCATTCTCTCTACTCATAGAAGTGTGCGATTGTATCAACCATAGTGGACTGAACGCTCTGTCCATTTAACGGCAGCAAAACAATGGAAAAGCTAAAGTGAGTCTCCACAGCTTAAAGTGATTAGATGAGTTTCTCACTAATCCCCACCTTGAGCAGGTAGGAGAACGCTCCCAGGGCTACCAATCGATTTGACACACACACACAGACACACACACACACACACACACACACACACACACACACACACACACACACACACACACAATAAAACTCTTTCAGCAACCAACCTCATCAAAACAATTCGGGAGACCTGAGCTCATTTTAATTCCACCCCTTTTTTGTTGCACACAAAATGGGCAATTACGTCCACCGTATTAACGAAGCTGCCAAACGATGGGACCATTAAGGCAGCTGACACAAACAGATCGATCGGACATACAACAGACAGGTAGAGGAATTGGGGGGGGGGGGGTCTTTACACAAGGCGAACGGGCAAAAAGGGAAGGGGTAAAAAAAGAAGAGAAGATGGCGAACAAGCGCATACAAACAAACAAGCCATGCTTTGTCCAGGCAGCTGTGACGGTTGTATTCTAAATGGGCCATTACAGCACAAACAAGCAGCGCGCTCATTGATTGTAGGCCCTCTGGGACTGGAGTCGCCTCAGAGGCTTTTGTGCCCTACAGGGGCAGAGATACCTGCATGAAGCTCCCATGGGGAGGCTTCATAAAAAAAGTCCTGATCGATAATTAGTGATTTTTGTGCAGAAGCTTGCTCGCACGTAACGCGAGTACAGCAATGGCCAATAAGTCTGCGAGGCGTGCGGTGGGTACGGCGGTCGGCAAAGTGGTTTGTGAAAGAGATTTGACACAAATGAAAGAGAGCGCGACTAAAATACAGTGAAAACAAACAAACAGTGAAAACAAACTCTTTGTCTCATTAGAGCCGAATCTTAACAGTGTGTCATGACTGCTCATTAGTTTCACAACTTACATCTCAGAGGAAAACATACACTTTATTCGGGTACAAGCGTATACATTTGGTTTAACTGTCTGACAATAAAAGTGAATTTCCCTGAATAACTTTAAATAATTCAATGTATAAATAACTTTTATTTTTGTTTGCGGAATGACTCCCATTTTCACATCTGCAGTTTGTCCTAAAACAAAATTAAACGTTGTTGCTTTATTGTTCACACCAACCAACACAGTCCTGAGAGATTTTTTTTTCTTGCTTGAAAATGACTTAAATGATTTATCAATTATCAAAGTAGTTGCAGATTATTATTTTGCTGATTTACAAATCGATTAATCGATTAATTATTTGAGCTCTGCTTATTTTTACTATGTTGTGGGTAAGACAAACTTTCTATATATCTCATGAAGATTTTTTTTATATATACAAGTCTTTATAGACCATTCTATTTTGAATTAATCCTCCAACTCTCCAGGTAAGAAGAAAAGCCATGGTGATGAAAAACACAAAAAGGGAAACCTGATATTACTACAGTATGTGAATATTCTTTTACTACAAGTACCTAAACTCTTATCGCACAATGAGACTCTTAATATCTTACATGTATAAGAGCAGATTAACCATAGTGCCTGCCGTCGCCGATGAATACGGATGCTTTATGAGATATGATTATTAAGATTAAAATACAGTGAAGCAAGAGGCTTAGTGTATGTGAAGGACATTTCCCAAACTATATGGTTGAGATGAGATGATAATGCAGTGGGATTTTTTATAGAAAGGAATATGAATGAAGTCTTGACATCCCGCTGCTTCCTGCAGTAGGATTTTAAACTAATGCGGAGGTGTACTACAATGTCAGCCTGTTGAATGCATCATTCTGAGGGGTCTGTATCCAAGGAGAGATTCCTTCACTTAACATTCATTTTTTACATGATGAAAAAAGCAATAAGAAATGGAGTGTTAAGGAAAAAGCTGCGAGATCAAACAGAGAGAGCGCACTTTTCTCTCTCTCTCTCACACACACACACACACACACACACACACACACACACACACACACACACGCACACACACACACAAAAAGACAATTCATACATCACACACATCTTTGCATGAATCGTTCCTTGTTGTGGGAGATGGGGCGGCAAGAAAAACACACACATGCACACACACAAACACACACACAAACACACACACACACACACACACACACACACACACAAACACAAAAAGACAATTCATACATCACACACATCTTTGCATGAATCGTTCCTTGTTGTGGGAGATGGGGCGGCAAGAAAAACACACACATGCACACACTCAAACTCACACACACACACACACACACACACACACACACACACACACACACACACACAGGTAAACATACTCATAGACATGCATATACACAAATGGAGTGCATACGTACCAGAAATTCTTGAAGGGTGTGTTGACTTCAAAGCCCCTGCGGTCCATGTCTCTAATATTGGCAGCAGTCAGTTCCACTTCAGCAATAGCCAGCCCCGCTTTATAGTCCTGGAGAAACACAAACAAAGAGATGGAGATCCATAAATGTAACTATAATGAAGTGTGAGGTAGTTACAGCCTAGCCACTACAAATCATCAACAATTTATCACCTTCTTTTATTCCCTGAAGAAAATAACTTATTTGCTGTTTTACCAAGAGTTAGAAGAAAAGACTGATACTACCCTAAGTATGGAGGTAGAGCCATGAGGTGATTAGGCTAGCTTAGCAGTCTGGTTCTCTGTAAAGTTCTGCCACTGTATGCCAAGAAATAGATCCAGTATATAACTACCCATAAAACCACAAGTTATCTTTTACATTTCTGTTTGTTTCTGTAGGTTAAGTACAAAGCTGGACCAAACAGCATGTTAGCTTAGAATAGAGAATGAAGACAAGGGGAAATAGCTAGCCTAGCTCTACCCAAAGGTAGTGAAATCACTCATCTTGTTTGCTTAATTAGTACAAAAAAACAAGTTAAAGAAATATATTGGAATAAATTGACAACAGTTCGTCAGTTTACGACGCACACACACACACACACACAGGTGGTAGGAAATGGACGGGTTCAAAACACTGCAACACAAAAGAGATAATGATTTCCCAAAACACCCCGCAAATATTAGGGGCCTTCACTAAGACACCATCTCAAGTTTTTTTTGGTCAGAGGCCCTCCCTAATAAGGTGGGATCAACAGGTGGTTGTTTCTCATACGGGGCTTGAATGTCATTTGGTTTAATAACAACCAACAAACACTGAAGAAGAGCTACAATAACTGCAGGGACATTCTCAGTCTCAGTCCTTCCTGTGGATTGTTTTTGTTTTGTTGTTTTAGGAAATGGAACTGGATATAGACTTAGACATGTGAGAGAGGCCTCCTGAAAATAGCATGTGACAGACCAGTCACACACCCAACTGTCATCGGCTTTCTCTCTCCTTCTCACTGGTGACGCACAAACCTGGCCTGTGTGCGACATGTGCGTACATGTGCGCGAGCGTTAAAGAAAAGTGATAGAGAGGCTGTGGTGTGTGTTGCATTGAGTGTGTGTGTGTACACCTGCGTGAATCAGCAAAGCTCTGCAAAAGGCAAAAGGTGCGTCTGGGGAATCCAAGCCAACCTGAGCTTTCAGCCTCGATGTTTTCACAGGCCCATTTCAGAAATAGAGGTTAGATACAGAGCCACAGTTTTCATAAGCTCTGTAACTCGGCGCCCCTCCCTTCTCCACTTCAGCCTCAACACTCGCAGCAGTTTAGACCATTTTCTATAGCGTAAAGCTTGAGGCATCTGACATTACAGTACAGAAAAATGCAAACTTTACTCCACTCCTGAGGCACGTAGACAAAGCCAAAAACATGAGTCGAAAGACGGGGGAGAGAAAGGCAGCGGGGACACAAAGGAAGGTGGAATGAGGGGGAAAATATAAGTGTGAGAAGGTCCTGGTAATCCTCACTGAGTGTGGGTGAGACAGGTGAGGGGTCAGCTGAGCAGTTTACGAAAAGAAAGCGTGCGTGTGTGCGTGCGTGTTTCTGTGTGTAGAAAGAGCCAGAACAAAGGAGGATCTGCGCCAGTACTTGACGGCGAATCACAAAAAATACAGCCTTCTCAAGCGCTAAATGCTGCCTCGCTGTGCCAGCTATAGAGCATGTGTGTTTTCCGTGCTAGCTGTAAAACAATTTACCACTAATTACACCAAACAAAGAGACAAAAAATGAATCGACACCATCTTTGTTGATTAGGCACTTTTTTTCTTGGGAATACATGGCCTATTGTAGCAGTGCAAAGAAGCGTGTGTTTATGAATGGGGGGGGGGGCGCTTTGCCAGATCTCTTGCAGAATTCTTCAACTAATTAGCAACAAACTTCTCAGATCAGCCAAATTTTGCAGATTGTAACACAAGGGGGTAAGTCACTTAAATATTTGCGTGCTGCAGGATTTCCAGCCTGATCTTTTAGTATTGTGTGGGTTGGTTCAATTGAGGCTAATGTTGTCAAAATCATCATTTGACCATCATTAGCCCCAATTAGACTACTTCAGACAAATTTAGAGGACTGTAGTGAAAAACTCAATTATTCTCTTTTCCTCGCGGTTCTGCACAATAATACTGAGGCAGAGCGAGTGGAAGAGAAATATAGCCAGCGTGGAGAGATCCTATGAAGCGTTATGAGTAATTAAGACACTCTGAGCAAGAGGATGAAATAAGAGACACGAAGATAAAGAAAAGAAAAGAGCAAGATGGCGTGAGTGACACAATTGAATTCACTGTATGGCCAAGTCCTAATTGAGCTAAAAGTTTTGATGTGAGGGCTTTCGGTGCAGCAGAAACTTGCCTCTCTATCCTATCAATTATAACTACGTACAGTACATTGCTCTTTTAAGTTCAGTATGTTCTGAGGTTTGAAGATGCATGACGCGATAATGAGAGAGCGGGGGTGACGGGGTATAAACCAACCTCATTCAAAGCTCATTCTCACCAACCACTTGGTTCAGCCAAGGATCTCAAGGCAACAAACGGCAGTAATTCAAACACAGAAGGACAAATGGTTTACATGTATAATTGTATAACTGTTTTGTTTCATTCTGGGAAGATATATGGAGGAGGAGAGCACCTGTGCTGTGTGTGCGCGCACACACACACACACACACACACACGCGCACGAGCCTTCCCGCCTGTCTGAATGTATGGGCATGTGAGTGTGTGACTGTGCTGAGAGGGCAAAGCAGTCACCTATACCTAATGACCCTCATCCCTCTCAGGCAGCCAATTAGAGCGCTGGGTGTTAGCGGCCGTCCAGCCCTCGCCACTCGTTACCTACCCAATATGTGCCGTGGCCTCCTGCCCTCTCCAATTAATTCACCAAGGATGGAGGGAAGGAAGGATAGAAAGAGGAAGGAAAGGCATTAGAGGTAAAAATAACTCACCCAATTACAACAGCCGAGGGGTAGGTGGCAATAAAGGTGCTTACAGGGGGAGAGGGGAGAGGGCCCTTAGGCAAATGTTCGTGCGCATGCGCATTTTTTTTTCTTTTTTTTTGGCTACTTTTTGTCCACAAACCATACCACATAAATAATCTCCAAAAACTTGAACTCAAACTGAACTCGAAGAGGAAAAAAAATAAATAAATCAACTCAAATCAAGTAAACACACCAAATTCCTGCAAGAGAAAAAGCATTTCTCTCGCACCTATAATGAATAACCTTAACCTGATAAGTGCTAAGCAAAGGCTTACTCTGAATATTCTAGTCATGCATCCAATTATAATTTCTTTCAAAGCTTTTCAACCTCTTATTGTGTGAGTCAGTCACTCCAGAGTGCCGAGCTGCTCTAAAAGAAGCCAGACAAGTAGAGGCGGCCTCTACTTCTATCTCCAATTCCATGTCCACTCAACCACTTAAACTGCTCTAAAAGCATGCAGGGTAAGACCGTCTCACAAAGGGGTAGGGGAGTTTAAAAGAGCACACACTCAATGGAGACAAAAGACTTTTATTTTAAACATCAGGCAGCGAGACAGAGAGTCCAAGGAAAGTGAGGAGCTATGGACAATGATAGTGGATAGAAGAGACGCGGAAATAGACAAATAAATGTATAGAGACAAAGGAGAGAAACAGAAAGAGGCAAGTGATGAATGAACTTCTAATAGACCTGAGGAAAAGGTAACTTACTAAAAAAAGAAAAAGACATATTCTGGAAATACATCTGAAAATCCTGTATTGAGTTAAGGAGAGGTTTTGAACTGCAACCAGCAGCCAGTGCAAGTCATTCCACGGGTCTGAGAGTCACATTTGGTCAAAAATATTTCATAAAACTTTACTGTGCATGTGGAACACGGCTATAAAGGCTTTATGAGTCTGACTGCTGCTTCAGTGTGTGAGTTAGGCTGAGCTGATAAAGAGTAGGTTTTAAGAGTAGCTTTGGTAGCATAAAAGGTCCTGAGGTTGAGGTTCTAATCCCAAATGAGTCAATTTACAGTGAAGCGCCAACCTGGGTGGATCTTAGTGTGAACCACATGACTGTTCAGACAAAACTTTGAAAATCCAACTCAATATTTAAAGATGCGCTAAGAAATATTCTTTAGCCATGCTAGGAATGCTAGCCCTCGGGATGTCAGTGTCAGTCAGTCTGTCCACCAGCCTTTGGATGGACTGCTATGAATTTTTCTACAGACCATGATGTTCCCTGAAATTCCACTGGACATTCCCATCAGCCCTAGCGGTACTTAGTGCAAAATTTTTAAATGTTAGCATGCTAACTAGCTAAATTGGTGGAACATGGTTCAAACTGTACATGCTATCATCATGTTAGTATGTGCAGATTGTTGTGCTGCCCTCCAACAAGCCAAAAAAAAAAAAACTGAATTACAGCCACAGTATTTAAAATTCGCTCTTTGAGCTGTATTAGGTATGCGAAAAGAAACAAAACTCATTACAAGAGGAGGGCCTCAGTGGAAGCAAAGTCACTCTTGTGTCACAAATTCTACAAAACGGCCTTGCAGTCTTGGGATGTTGTTAATTGTTACAAAGACGATCTTGAGAAGAGCAAATGAGAAAGAGATTTAATTAAAGCAGAGATTAATTAAATCCTCGGTCTCACTGTTATTGTATACTCAGAATACCTTTTCCACCAGAGAAGGCTCTACTGTATGTGTAACTTTTGCTAAGTAGGAATTAAAGCACAAGAAAAAGATATCTGGCAAAAGTTTTTGTTCAGCCAATCACCAGCCAAGATTTCATTGTAAAAAAAAAAAAAAAAAAAAAAAAAAAAAAAACTGTTCAAGTACGCTTGCAGGAACCGGTTTACATATGAGATGGCAGGAAGAAATATGATCATCCAACAAACAATCCATCAGCTACTGGTGTGAAGACAAACCAGATAACTCTTGTGATGTATGAGATGATAGGACATGAAACAAGTTGCTCTGGTTGTAACGATCTGCCTATGCAGCCCATGTCAGGGAGATCATTCTCAGAGCAAATGTGTGTGTGTGTGTGTGTGCGTGTGACACACTTGGTGCACTGTCTGACTTTCTTTTACCTTAGTGTTTAAATGACCTTAAACACAGCTCCATCACGGGGCTTACGGTCCATGAGAAATGGGGTAGGGGTGGTGAAGGAGGAGCTGGGAGGATGATGTTTCCAATAGCTCGTTCATCATGTTAGATTAAATACTCCACTCCACTGAACTTGAACGGGGCAACGGTCTACCTCCCTCCTGCTCTCCATCACTCTCTCCTTTTCTTATAGCCCACCAACGCTCGTTTCTCACTCATGCGACCCCTGCACCAAAGCGCTCCCTCCATCCCTCTCACTTCATCTCTCTAGTTCTATCTCTTTGTTTCTGTCTCTTCCTCTTTTGTCAAAAAGAACTGCCGCTCCGGCTGCATTTATGCCGGGGATTTAGCTTGTAAGCTGAAATAATACAATTAATTTGTTCTCTCTCAGATTCTCCCTTTCCCTCCGTTACTCTAGCTGTCTCAGATCAAGGAAGTGGAAATGTGCTGACATGGAGTGATACCCAAAAGAGAATTCTAACAAAGATGTTTGTTCACCTTAATGAAGAAAATAATGAAAGGCAAACAACAAAACTACAAGAGCGAGCGAAACGAAATGAGAGCCAAGGAGGGATGGAAATGAGTTGAATGCGTGCAGCATTATCAAATATGCACACAAATACGTGTGAGGCACTTTAAGAAATAGTATCACTGCTGTGAGGTATCTTTCCATCTCAGATAAGATGTCTTGCTGCTGGGACAGGAGTAGGCAGAGAAAAGAGTCTCTGAACGTGAGCAGGGACTATCAGGGCTTAATTGGACTGACATCAAATAAAAAATAAAAAAAAAAGACTCAAGAGAAACTATGAGTAAGAGAAAACTTATCTCTCCTTTATTCCACGGCTAAAAGGAGATGTAAGTTATGAAAGAAAATGTATGACTCTGTAAGAATATATTCTGAGTACACAATAATACAAGGGAAGCTACTCTGACTTTTTGGGCTCTTTGTTCATTTGACAAAAGCCTCCAAAGTAAAATGCCCCACAACTAAGCATGCTAATATTTTAGCAGCATGTAAAGGCATTGACTTAACAAAGGTACTAATATTCAGCTAGTGGAAATGAGTCAGAGAAAATGACTTTGAGGAATAGCTGAACATGTTGCCAGGAGTTAGATGAGAAGATTGACACCACTCTCATGTCTCTGTATCAAGTCTGAAGCTAAAGTCAGGAGGCTATTAGCTTACAGGCTAGCATAAAGACTGGAAGCAGGTTTAAAAAGCTAAAACTTGGCTCGTATGGCCAAAGTTAAAAAACACGCCTGACCACCACCTCTTTGTTTATTCTGTACACAAACAGAAAGGTAAAATCGACAAATTTGTGCCATGGGGAGTTACGTGCTATAACTATTTCTTAGCAAACATTAGCCAGACAGCTTAGCTTAGCATAGAGAGTGAAAGCAAGGAGAAACACTTAGCCCGGCTCTATCCGAAATTCAAAAGTACACTTGCAAAGACCTCTATACCTCAGTAATTAACATTTCTCACTTGTTTAATCCATACACAAACAGAAATGTAAAAACAAAACCCTAATGTTGTAGTTTCAACTGTAAAACCACAATTCATCACGTTTAAAACACTGCTTATGGATTAAACAAATGAGATACAATATGTTAATTAGTGAGCTTTAGAGGTTTTGGTGGCAGATTTTTTTTTAACTCTGCACAGGGCTAGGCTCACTGTTTTCCTCATGTCTCTTTATGCTAAGCTAAGGGTCTATCTTCATCTATCTTCTATCTTCATACTTAACACACAGACATGATAATGGTATCAATCTTCTTATCCAACTCTCAGCAAGAAAGCAACTCATTTTTTTTACATAAAACCTGTGTTATAGACTGGGGATGTGGAGACACTGGATGTGGCGCCATTTACAGGCAGGGGTGGTCAATAAGAGATAAGCGTAGGACCCAGGGTTTTTGAGCTTGATCAATAACAGGTACTACAAGTTAAAAATATCTTGACACTCAGCTTAATCAATACTGACCACTCATGTTTTTTTAGATCCATCTCTCAAGAGCCGCCAACATTTTTGCAAGTGAAATAATGTCAGGAGTAGTCATTTAAAGGCTGTAAATATTCATCAGAAATACTGTATTCATCTTCCAGAGGGTTTTAACTCTAAAGACTCCAGGTTTTTCCTAACTTTTAAAACTATACTCATTAACTGTTTGTTTAGTTATTGCAAGAAAAAGACAAGAGTATGCCATAAAGTAAATACAGCACAGTCTCAGGAATATGAAGTACGCATGAAGTCCGAGGTAACGGGAATAAAGTCACGTAAAGTTTGAAATGCAGGTACAGCACTGTCAATATTTGCTTGAGGAGAAGCTGAGGATTTCAACCCACAGGCTTTACAGGAGGTTAAGACCAAACCAACCTTTTTTTTGACCACATTCAGAAAGTTTTTATCTTTCTATTCTTGGAGGTTATCACTTGCCATCTAAAGCAGGGGTGGTTTCAGAAGGTCATCAGGAGATCATCTTAAACGCCTTGTTTCTTGAATAAAATAGGACCTTGATTAATAGCCCAAAAAGTTACTGCATAAATATTCACTGAAACCAACTGGGTATATTTAGACAAATAATGTTTGTGAATATTTAATAAGTTTTTTGAATCAGTAGATAATTGCAAATTTAACAGAAGGGAAATATGCTAAAATATAATTAAATGCAGAAAACACTGAAAAAGATCTCAAAAGAAAAAAAAAAAGTGCACATTTTAGTTGTCACAAAACAAGCTGGTTCTCTCCTCCTATAATGTATTCACTCATTAAAGTCATAAGTTGCGTGCAAATTCCACTACAGATGAAAAACACCGTTGTTTGTAAAGGGTCACGAACGCATGTTAGACCCACTTCTAGTCTCCTATTCAGTGTGAGAAATAGTAGTAAATATGTTTGTCCTTGCAATATTTTGGACCTTGACAAACTAAAGTCAGTGCAGCTGTCATCTTTGAACAGTATGAACTTCTCTTTTTCTATTTTTAAACAAACTTGCTACTTGCTACTTCTCCCTCCCCGTCTTGCTGTTCTGCACCGAGCATTTGCATAAAGATGCGAATGGACGAGGCGCTGCAGTTGGAGGATCCTCGCATACTAATAACATTGTGACACCTGTCTGCCTCTGACAGCTCACATTCAGTCAGATGAAACTGCAGTCGCGCGGAGACAAGTGTGGGTTTCAGCTCGTGTCCACAAAGTAGCGGAACACTGACAGCCATCGATAGTAGCCACACCTGTGTATGGGCAGATGGTCAATACTTAACTTTATGAATTTCAGCAGGCAGCACACAAGTCTTAGCACAACTCTCTTCTCTCCCTTTCACATCAATCTCCTTCTATGTCTCGCTCTTTAAAGGTTTTTCAGAATTTGTCTGCAATAATTGCAAAAGTGTCAATCAAAAGTAATTAGTGGAAACAAAAAGCAAATCATACTTTCAGAAAACAAAATCATATCTCTGCATATGTTATTACAGTCTATCTATGGCAAAAAAAAAGCTTCACTTTGATATATCTATCCTCCTAAAAGTCATCATCCCGTCACTCATGTTTGTTGTGTGAGGATGGATGTTATAGATACATATAGCTCAAAATTAAAATGGAGATGATCAAGATCTCACTTCAAACAATTCACAGAACGCATTCAACCAACTGCAAACCAAGGCTGCATGCCACAGTGAATCCAGCACAACAGTCTAAAACATGACAACTTTGCTACTTTCAAAATGAAAAAGAGACACCAACACTGCTCCACAAATTACTATTAGGGCTGATTTTTACCCTATAGTTCGCTCTAACCACTAACTATTGGGGCAGTTGGGACAATTAGGAAAGAATTTTGGGGCACTTTTGGGTCAATTGGGTCTACCAGAGGGGCAGTGGGGACATCAGAGATCACCTGCGGTCACTTGGGCTGATCGGACTTACTGGTCATTCACTGGGCAGCAATGATACTTCAAAGTGTCTCTTTGGATTGAGTACTAAGAGCAAAAAGGGCTGTGGTGCTGCTGCCTGACCAGCCTAGACCGGACTACTTTTAAAGTTGGTGAGAGGAGCTGGGCAAAGCAAGAAATTGCCCCAGGGTCCCAAACCCTCAAGGATGTCAAAGGTTCTGTATTCACGATGTGTCAACTGGTAAGTAGTCATTTTATCAATTGCAACTACACAATATCAACATAAGAAATAAAGGCCTGGCAGTGGATTCCACAGTACCTGTCTTGTAGAGGAGCCCTGCGTCCAAATTTACATGGTGCGTCTTAAGTCCGAAATCAATTTGTGTATAACAAAATGACCACTAAAAGGGGCCAGAATAAAATTTTACCCCAGATGCCCTTGCGGGTTAATCTGGCACTGAAGAGAATGTGATTTGTTTGGACATTAATGAGGATTGTGCTACTAAGGTACTGCTCCCACTAACTACATATTTACTAAACACATTCTGTTCCAACCTATTCTGGACCTTCATGGCTGCGCTTGCATGTCATTAAACTTGCATAAATAAGTTGGTTGTTCCTGTGTGCTACCATGTGATTGTACCCACTGAAGATACAGTAGAAAATAGTAAGTAAACCCTAAAGCATTTTCACACATATATATTTACTTTTTGCATTACACATTCATGAACATCTCCATCTCTTTCATGAACCTCTCCATCTCCGCCTCATCTGCTTCAAATAGGCTGTGATTATTATCTACCTCTTTCAAACAGGAAGCTGTCATCCTGTAGAGAGGAAGTCCCAGTGGTGTTGGAAGTACCTGTTCTGTTTTGCAGAGCCTGACTTTACTCCCCGCCAGGGACACCAGCACTCTGCCTTTGTAACCACGGAGCTCCAGCAAACCTCGTTTGTTTGTGGAGGAGGGGTGGGAGAGGCTGTCGGAGGGCTTCTGGGAGCCGCAGGCAGGGGGGCGCGTGGCCGTCTGAAGAGTTTCCATCCACTCCTGGCGCTCCCCTGTGGACACGTGCATGAGTGAGAGACAGAAACAGAGAAAAAGAGAGGTAGATGGTGAATGAGGACAAAAGTGTGAGTGCGCAAAAGAGAGTGAAACCAAGACAAGCCAGGAAGAAAACTAGACAAAGAGAGATCAGGGCATCTTAAAGTCTTTGAATTATAGTGTTAATTCATCATTTTTTCATCCCTTAAGTGAGTTACATTGGCTCGTTGGCTGCTAAACCTTCCCTGCATAGCGATGCAGGCAATTCCAGTCTAAAACAAAAGTAATTGAAACACAGGATGAGCCATGATTGGTGAAAATTAACTTACGCCTCTGGAAAAAGAATATCCTGCAAAGCTGAAAAGTGCAAAGTCTGGCACTAGAGATATAGATAGCTGCTTCTCTGAAATTTGCATGCCTCAAGCAAGATGTGGTGGGGGTAATTTTAGTCAAAGACAACACCTAATTAAAATACACAATTAAAAAAAATATAGCTTCTAATGAGACACAGCTACAGTTCTGTGAATCTACTAATTTGTCTCAACCTGGAAACCAACAGAGAAAAGTCACTGAAAGGTGTAAATACATTTCGCAAAGTAGTTTATTTCGGTTTGAGGGACTATTTGATTTGATATGATATAAATGTGCAACTGTCTTGTTTTGTGGTTTAAGCAATTGAGCCCTGTACCCCTTCAGTTCTCACAGTTTACAATGATAATTTTACAACATTTAGTCATTTAGTCCATTTTTTTTTTTTGTTTTTTAAAATGGGCCCTCGATTTCCTAGTGACTTAAAACGAGAACTGTGTAAAAAGGTCTTAAATATGCACCTCATGGCTACATTCATATCATGCTAACAGGCTAAAAATGAACATCCCAGTCAAAAAAACGTGAGATCAAACTGTTATTTTGGTCCCAGCGTGTTTGGCACAATTATTTATTATCTGTTTCCACTTTTAACCTTGAAACAGAAAAGGCTTTAAGGATGAGTACTAACAGTTGTGTTTGGAAAATGCAGCGTTATCACAGGTCAACTGACTGCCGGTCCTGGAGTGTAAACATCTTCAATAAAAAGCAGGGCGGTGCTAAGGTCAAAATCAGCTTGTGCTAGTTGCGAACGGTTCTACTTCAAACGTAACCTGTAACCCCAAGAACTAGCGTAGTTAATGAATAACATACCATTGCTAGCAGCTAGCTTGTCAGACATGCTAAGAATTGCAGCGTATGTTAGAGCAGAGATACACACTTTATAATTGATTCCTTAATAAATAAATTAAAAAAAATTTTAAAAAAAACAACACCCTACAAACTATTTCTATACTACTGCTGGAGCTAACAAATATTTTCATTACTGATGAATCGGCCATTTCCCAGCCCAGTTGCAGCTCTAACATATAACATTATATACACACAGTATTGCTAGACCAGCTCCATGCATATTGAAAAAGCGAAAGCTTGAGAGGTCTGCTGCACCTAGGTATGGTTGCTAAGCTATTATTTGGACAATCTCCACTCAGGCGAAGGGTTCAGCAAACTGTCCTTAAACTGGCACCTCACATGTTTGGTGCCTTCAAAAGCTATTTGTCCTTGAGTAGGTCACTGAATCTCTACGTTATTGTAAATCACCCTGGATTACCGCACAGCTAAATGGCTCAATTGTAATGCGATGTACCATGTTCCCAACAGGGTTAACATTCAAACGATGTACACTCAAAAGGCCTTTAAGATATCTTCCTCTACAACTTTTCAAACTGACATAAAAGAAGACTTGGAAGCCGGTGCTGTAAAGCCCATTCCCTTACCGCCCAAGACATTTTGCTATCAAAGCCAGCAAAGTGGAAACACAAGAGATAGCAAAAGATTGTAAACACACAAGTATACACACACACACACACACATCACAGCAGCAACCACTGTTGTATCTGTTCAGTACAAGAAAGAAAAAAGAAAAGAAAAAAAAATCGGTAAACTGATATGAAAAGTAAGCCATCAGTGGGGATGGACCTGTAAATTTGAGCAAACAAAATCATAAAAGGAAAGGAAGTTTTTGAAAAAAAGTAAATGCACTTCAATTCAAAACGTGTGCAGCTATCAACTCATCACTCAAAAACAAAAAAGCAATTCTCTGACAGAATTTCTGAAATACACAAACTGACAAAGCGGTGCTCTAACAACAGTGAACATTTGTGTGATCACACAAGGGCGTCGCACCACCCCCTTTTTTAGGAAATGTATTTTTGGACTCCCATGAATTTCAACAGGATGGAGGATATTATGAATGATCTCCAAACACAGAACGTGATATCTGTGTTTCGTACTAACGCAGTTTGTCAAAATATTGAAGATGGAGCCTTTAATTGGTGTATTCACTTCACTTCTCTCTGTTTTTTTTTTTTTTATTATCCATTTATAAGTCCAAATCCAAGTTATTTTCCAAAAGAAGAAAAAAAGCACTGGCACACAAATCATGTCACCAAAATCAATTAAAATATTTGCTCTGTAAGCTAAGGAAACACAAGGACATGCTTGTAGGAGGTCTACAAATTACAAATTTGTAGCACGCCAATTTAGAAATAGAAAATAATTGTTTTGCTGACTTTATTAATTTCCTGAATGGAAAATGTGTCTGTTTTCTTCCCCACAGCTTATCTACAGAACAGAGGGCTTTTGAGTATCTGCAGTATTTTGTCAAACACAAATGGATAGTCAAGCCAGCCCTGTCTTTTCCATGTCTTTACGAGTCCACAGGTAACCAAGTCTGGCATTGCCTAGCAAAAACTAATGTAGTCTAATACAATAGTCCTGCAAGAAATCCGCCTTCATGAAGATTATTAACGTTGAGTTTTGTTAAAACTGTAAAAATATTACAACTATTATGATTGATTATCAAATAATTTCTTTATCAGTTCCAGCAGCTCATATGTGAGGATTGGATGCTTTTCTTTATCATACATGACAGTGATGTTTTGTACTGTGGACCCTGGTCTTCAGAGAGTTGTCCCTTCACTTTACAGTGTGAACTGGAGTGCAGGGGGAAATGTATTTGTTACTCTTTTTGACCACAGGTGCTCGTTAATTGGTGGCTCAGCATGCTGCTTCCAGCGTTGGCGTTATCTCTCTGTGGAGGTCTGTTTTTTTTTTTTTGTTGAACTACACTTTGTGTAATTATCCTCAGGTCTATTTGGATCAGTTCTGACTGTCCTCAGGTCTTTTTTTTTTTTCCTTTCTTTTTTTAAAGGGTTCAGACAAGTTTTCTACAGGTCATTTCAGGGTGAAAATTTTGGATGTGTAAAAACCTTAATCAGAAGTATTATATATGCACACATACAAATATAAACTTGTTTTTTTCTCCTTTCTCTTGTCTTAACAGAGCCAACTGTGTTACCCTCAGAGTGACCTGCCGATGTGTCCTCAACGCACCCTCCCTCTGTAAAGTGACGGACGGACGGGGGGGGGGGGGGGGGGGTTCTCAGTGACCTGTCAATCACTTTGCAGACACTGTCAACCTGACATTGTCGCCAAATTGACCTTAATTAGCCTCTTGACTGTGACACTCTAACCCTCCTGCAGCCTTTGCAGACGTGTTCCTCTCTCTGACCTTGCACGCAAACATATCCACCATCATCTCCACTTCTGAGGAAAAGTTCCTCCTCTCTGGGCATCCTGCTCCTACACGCTACCACCCTCCCAAACTCTCAAATACTGTATCCGCTGCCTGGTCCGAAACTGAGCTCTGGTCAGGCTACCCCTCAGATTCTTATGAATTCACAAAGAGCTGCTATCAATAATGAAAAGCCTACTCAATTATTGACTGCTCTTTACATCACTAGGCTTTACTGTTCCGTCCCGCCCTGCTTTCTGAGTTCCATTACCTGTCCTGCACTCACTTATTTGTCTGTTCATTTATTCAGGGCCTCCTTCCTCTCTCCCTCCACTCTCCTTTTCGCCCCAGCTGTCAATCTGAGCGCGGGAGGGAGGGCTGGAGTGAGGAAGGAGGTGGGAGGATTGAGAGAAACTTGTGAGAGAAACAAGAGGAGACAGTGGTATGCCCGTACGCTTGCGTGTTAGCATGTGGGCATGCGACCCGTGCGCCTGAGTTTGTGTTGCATATATTTGAGTGTATGTTATTGTTTGTTTGTGCACACGGTCTCGCACATGAACCTCCAGCGTGCTTGCCAAAATTATTTTTACTCAAGTGTGCAAACATGCAAACATGCCCTCACCTCTGCATGCATATACAAAGAATATACAGTTACTCTCAGACACTGAAACCCAGCGGCCACATCTAGATTCATCGCTTGTTAAGAGATATATGTATAGCTGTGTATTTGAACGACTGTTCCACTTTACATGGAGAGAGATGAGGAGAGAGGCAGATAGTCCTCATTGAAAGTGGATGAGATGAGAGCCAGGTCCACTCAGCGCTCAACAGAGATCTTAGAAGCCACCCACGCAGTCTCCATCAACAGGAATAAAAAAAGAAATAGAAAAAACACACACACACACACACACACACACACACACACACACACACACACACACACAAAGCAGAGGGTTTGCGGCCATTTGCTCTGATTTCTCTCATTTCAATCGTCTCACGCCAACATAATGTACATACACAACATGGAATGAAATGTTTCCATTATCCTTCAATATTTAATCTACATGTGTTTGCCATGTTTTGTTTTTGTTGCCATATTGCCTATATTGCCGCCATGGATGACATCATCAGCCAATTTTTGCAAATATGAGCACCTGCATGTACAGTCCCAGCAGCCACCGCACATTAATGCACCATCAGAAAGACACGAATCTAACGTCAGTTAGACATTAAATATTGGTTGGAAATGAAAATTGGTCTGACATTAAAATCTAGCGTTGGATAAATAACATTCTGACATTTCGCAGACGTTTTGCTGACGTTTAAAAGACGCTGGGTTTTTCTCATGACTATAATGTCAGTATTTTATATGTCAAGATTGCGTTGGCATGCGACATTTGTAAAAAGTTGGATTTT